TTACATACGACGGATTGAAAAATAATAGACAAGAAATAGAGGTGTTTAACAATAAATTAAATGCATATTTTGCATCTAGTGTACTTGAAAAAGCTGTTGTAAACTATATAAACTATTATTGCTGGAGTTGCCATACGTCTTACAATGACTTAATAAAATGGAAAAAACATATGCATAATGAGCACTCACTTTTTCCGTGTTCGGTTTGCATCAATTCTTCAAAAAGAAAACAACTTAACGTGTTTTTGAAGGTCTATGCCGAAACGGATTTGCGCCGTCATTTATTTGGGGAAGACATGAAAAACGAAATTTCTCATGTTGTTTGTCCCTGCTGCAAAAAAGTTTTGTATGAAAGCGAAGATTTTGTGCTACATTGGAAACAATCTGATAACCATTTTGATTGTCCTTTTTGTACGCAAGACCAAAGTAAGCCTACGCTATTTACAAGCTATAAAAAATTAGTAAATCATTTTAAGAAAAAACACGCTTATTGTGAACAATGCTCTAATGCATATCGAAACAAAAAAGAGCTGCTTGTGCACAATTCTGTAGATCATAATAAAAACTACAAAGCGACTGATTTCGATTTGATGATCGCAGCTGGAAAAGATGACTCTAAGGATATTATAAATTTTGAGATCGAAGAGCTAACAACTAGACTGCGCGATAACTGCGACGCGCTTGGTCTTTGGCCAGTTGAACTGTTTGGGCAATTAGAGTCTATTTCTAACATTATGCAATTTTTAATGGAAAGAAGCTTTGCCATTCCATGTTTTTCGGGTTTTTTAGATGAAGTGAATTTTCGTTCAAAAGAGCTTGACTTAATTGAAAAAGAAATAAAAACATTTTTGACTTTTTTTGGTCCATCAACAAAGTTCTTAGCCTATACTATCAGATTTCTTCATAAAATCTGCGAGAAATGCTGGCGATATTTACGTAAGGAAAACGAGGTTACGAAAGCGTACAACTTTCAGTTGGTTCGTGTTTCACTACCCTGTGAAATACTATTGGCTTATTTGTTTTCTGATGAAAGTCTTGTCTCGAGTTATAAACAATGTTTGGATTACATTTTTGATTCATACTCTGTTCCGTATAAAAAATATAGTTTGTGGCTTGCTAACACTAAATTTTACAAGCTTTTTAATTTTGCTCACAAAGATAATCCCGTGTCGCTGATTTCCGTATTTTCGGACACTTTCTTACTTCATCTTATAGAGAAATTCAAGTTGCCGAAACTTCAACTTGAAGACACCACTGTTGAGAACATTACCAAACTTAATCGAAAAAATGTAAATAACATGAATTTCTTATCGCTATTAGAATTGGATATGCAACTTTATTTAACAAACGTCTGTCTTGAAAGTTTTGTTAAACTGCGAACGTTATATAAGGAATTATATGATTCAGTCAAAAATTCTATTTCATCACACAATACTATTGATGAAATGTTAAAAAAAAAACAAGAACAGCTCGACGAAGCCCTTGCTAATTTTGATGAATCGCTTTGTGATGAAGATCTGAACTTTATTCTAGCTTACATTTACCTAATTCATAAAAATTTGACTGATGAAAAATCAAACTTGAACACTCGGTCAAATATTAGCTTTCCTTCTTTAGGTCCGAATAAAAACATTATTTCAATCTCTTCTGCGAAATCGTTCGGTACGTATTCAAAATTAAGCAGTTCTAGCTCTATCCTTAACCAACTTGATAAGACTAAAAATGATGAGTTCGTTCCGTTACCTACTCGTTCTAGTAAAAGTACCAGCAGCGTTAGCTTTATAAAACCAACAAAACTTAAAAGAAACTCTGTTTCCAGAGCTGCGAAAGAACAACCGCCTACAAAGGACCTGACATTAACAGATGTGGTAAATATAGAAAAAAATATTCCAAGTGGATCAACTAAATCGGAAGAACAACAGCCACGTAAAACTGAAGAACAAAAACGGCTGGAGATGTTTTTGGAACTTTACAGTAAAAAAAATAGGTGTTACCGTAGACGGCATTGACTTCAGTCGGTAACGTTTAATTTACATTGAATATCCACCCTCCGCCCTTTCACACATGGAAAATAAAGTGTTACTTAATAAATATCTAATAACATTGGGTCCTTTTCCTTCTGTTACATTTCTACTAACTTCTGTTAATGGAGTGGTAGATAATGCGGGATAAAATTCCCCGTCGCGAACAAAGCTTAAATTCTGAATTATAAATTGTATGTTACCAGTTCCTAAAACGTCTCGAATCAGTTTCTTGGCTAAAACAATTCCAGCTTCGTATGAAGTCATGTTAAGTGATAATTTCAGAGGTCGTTTAGAAAGCTCTCTAGCCATTGAACACACAGCAGGTGAGAGATTTTGATTAATACAAACAAGAAACGCTTCATAGTATCCGTCTTCTAATTTATCTTCATTGTTGCCCACAAGTAAAGATCCAATAGATGAGTTATATGGTGTTTTTTTTTGCCTCATCTTGGTTTTCTGTTGCTTCGGCTTATCGTAATCCAGTTCATATTCAACATCTGAAATACTGAAAAACTCCATCATTTTGCTGTCAACGTTTCGATCTGACTCGTTGTCATTAATGATATTTTCATCAAGAAAATTAGGAACTTTGTTTTCTTTTGGATCAGCGTAGAATTTTCCATAAATGATTTGCATTAAGCCGGAAATGATACGTTCCTTGCGCAACTGTCTTCGGTTTTGAATCTTGACTCCACATTTCGGACACGATTTATTTCCGAGTCGAAGCCAGCGGTTAATACAGTGATCGCAATAACGATGTAAACACCATTTAACCATTATAGTATTTTTTAAAAGTCCATTACATAAGGAACAGCTGAAATGAGAAACTAAATTTTTTACTTCGCCAGTGTGTTGCGCAATAAGGATGTCTTGTAGTATATAATTACTAGATCTTATTGGTAAAAATAAATCTTCTAATTTTATTCCAAAGGAATTCAAGACAAACTCATTAACTTCTTTTCGCGCTACTTTTTTCCAAGGTTCACAAAAATAATTTTGGGCTGCTTCATAGTCGTTGATCAGTTTCCAATCATTATATTTCATTATCTCAAAAAAATATTTATGATCGTTGTGTATGTAAACTTTTTTAATAGAAAAAATTAATTAGAACTCTTGTTGATCTCTTTTACGTCGTTATTTTTAGATTCTGCAACACTTTGTTTAAGACGTGTTACTTGTTTGAATTCGTATTTTAGTAAGCTGTTTATTCTGAACAAGGAAAGCCAGAGAACGAGAAGAAAACAAGATATCCACCAGTTCCGCTGTTTTCGCAAAATAGATATTCTATATTCTTGTATTGTCAAATATTTACGTTGACTTGATGTAGTTAATTTGTAAGACTCACATCCAAACATTATAAAGAAAAAGATTAGAAAAATGTGGTAAATGCGAAGCGAAACAGATGCTATGGTGAGTTTTGTATAGCAAATGTTATAAGAAATTTTTTGTAATAGTTTAACTCCCGACAACACCATTAACCATAACAGCAGAGAAAAAGGAAATATGGTACATGCTCCGATCCACCAGCCAGACATTGTATGGAAATTTGTAATTAAGCTTTAACAATTCCGATTAAAAAAACGAAAAAAAAAATTATAAAATCTATATCATCTAAGTTTACAATTGGATCATTTTATTATGAAGTAGAAGTTGCTTGATAATAATATATTTAAATCGACAAAATAATTGCATTATTATTTCTGATAGGAGCTTTGGCACCATATCAAGTAAAATTCAAATGAAGTTTTTACCATAAAGATTTCAACTTTAACCTCGTTAAAATACTAAGGTATAGATTATTTAATTTTTAAATTAAAGGGATAAATGTTGAATAACATACTAGGACCCAATTTGCTGAATCAAGATTCTGATGTCGTTGATTACAAATTTTGGAAATCGATGATCCTTGCGCGTTCAATAATTTTTATTCTCTTATTGTTAATTTGCGAACTTATAATACGTTCTGTACCTACAATTTTGGTGTTTCTTTTTCCATCACTCAAATTTGAAGGCAATAAATTTATGAGTTTTGACACTCCTATATTTATGCAAAAAATAAAAAAACAAGACATAAGATTGCTGACGTGTTATTTATGGACTTTCCGTTGTTCTTTGCTTTCATTCTTTCTGATTATTTGGGAAGTAATTTTGATCTCAAACAAACTCTTACAAATTAACAACAAGTTCGCGTTTAATAAATTACATTTTCACTGTGAAACAGGCTGGAGCTGTTATCACGTCGATCTGCCAGCCGAAATAAATTTGGATGAGACTTTTGAATCTTTTAAACTTTGGTTCAACTGGAATTTCACTAATGTTTGTCAACAAGTACTGGAAAAGCCGAATACCTTTTATCGTACTTTGATGGAAAGTCAACTCAGCATTAAAAAAAACATATCATGCTTACAGATCTTCCCTTCTTCCGGAATTGAAATTGTAAAAGGAATTACAATAGCGTTCGCGTTCAGCCTATGTTTATATTTATTCTTCGAGATTTTAATTGCAATTCAACTCCGTAGCTCTCGACGAAAAGTGTTTAACGGACGCCTTCTGGTATTGGTTGCATTCATCTTGATGTTTTTGGTAACTGTAGCCTCTTTCTGCATAGAGCTTTTGTGGGGCGTGACACCGTCGTCTAACCGATCGCTTTTCCTGTTAATTTTACTTGTAATCATGTATCAATCGCGTTGCGCGTCTAAAATATTGCGTACGCTGAAAGCCAAAAATCATAATGATACGCTGAACAAACTTAGAAATGTTTCTGTATCGAACATCTTACAAAAAAATAAATTAAAGCCAAGTATAGAAGATGAACAGCAAGAAGCTTGTTTTCAAACGAAAATAAAAAACATGTAGATGTGAAATATAATTTATTAGCTTTTGTCGATTGAAAAGAAATAAAAAATTATTGACAAGAAGAGGTAGTTCTATGTAATAAAGAGTTTAAGAAATTGGATAAAACAACCAATAATGTAATTAATTTGCTGCAGAAACAAGCCCTTTCTCTGAAACATAAATACCATCCAAAAATTGACGAATATCCTTGTTTCTAACGAGAGCGTTTTGGCGCAAAAGAGCACATGAACGAGAGACTTTGTCAATGTCAATTCCTATCAAAATGAGTTCATCTTTAACAGTTGATGATTTTTCGCAGATAACGTCATCGCTAAGTTTTACAACACGAGTACGGCCTTCTCCTAAAAAGTGGCGAATCTCGACAACAGTTCCGTTTTCTATAATGTTAATGTTAATTGGAAAGTGGGAATATACCAATCGCATTTTGTATTGGAACTTGTTTAGAACACCTTTGAACATGTTGGAGATTCTGGAACAAAGAGTTCTCAAGCAAGCCTTACGCTTATTGGTACAAAGCCACATTCTCGCAGTTAACTTCTCATCTTCAACAACAATTTCAATAGGTAAATGTCTGAAGTCTTTGACAATAGTTCCATGAGGTCCTGTCACAGTTATTATACGACTGTTAATTTTAATAGTAACCCCGGAAGGTATGGGAATGCTTTCCTCGCACAAAACCTCTTTCATTGTGAATGCTAAGGAAATAAGACTATAATATTCTTATTGTTTGTTTTGTCTAATTCACAAAAAAGTTCCGACTTGTTAGCAAAAATTATTTCTTTTCTTCTTTGAACAAATATGGTAAATACGACTCTAAGTCTTCTTGTTTATCAAGTTTTGTAAATTTTATAAATTTTTGATATTACAGATATAGTTGTGAAATTTATTTATTTTTTTCTTAAAGCTAGCTCATCAAGTAAAAAAAATTATTCCTCGTCATTATGATTGGACGGAAGAAAAATCATTCTTCGACCTAAAAGATGCACGTTAAACAATTTATTTACAGCTTTTTTCAAATCTGACAGTGAATGAAACTCCACAAAAGCGAACCCTCTTGGCGTTCCGTTTGCTTTTTTAGGCAATCTAATATTTTTTACTTTCACAATTGAACCAAACAGCACTTTGAGATCTTTAATGTTGGTCTCAAAGGCTAAATTCTTTATCAAAAGTTTGGTGGTCTTAAACTCGGAGAGACCTTCTACGTCTTCATCTTCCTGCTCTTCAGTGTTGATTTGTCTCTTTGCATATTCTATAACTAATAAATGTCCATCGATTGTTACAGAAGCCAGCTTTCGGACAGCATCTTGTGCATCTTCACAAGTTGCAAATGTGGCAAATCCATGGCCGATTGATTTGCTGTTTTTGCGGCTTTTCAATAACGTAAATTTTCTAAATCCGTTAAACTTCGAAAAATATTCAACAAGCTTTTTTTCAGGTGTTTCGAAATTGATGTTGCTAACGTACAAAGTGTTGTTTGCTGGTTTCTTAAAATTTTCGTCTTCTGGTAATACGTTGTTAGCAACATTCGGTAGTTCAGCTCGTCCTTTGATTGAATCCAAACTTTTCGGAGCATATTCTAAATACAAAGGGTAACCTTTATATTCGTGTTGCAAAAGCGCATTAAAAGCATACTGGCAGTGTGCGTCAGAAAAATATGAAACAAAACCAACTGTACTACTCGGCGCAATTTCAAAGCGGGAAATGTTTCCATATTTTTTAAACAACGCGTACAATTCTTCTTTTACAACCCAAGGCCCAAGGTGTTTGATAAACAAAGTTCGTTGACTTCGTTCTTCTTTTGAGTTTAATTGGGCTCCAAGCAACGAGTTGCCTGAAAATTCAAAAATTTTCTCGTCTAGATTCAGGCTTACAAGCCACTCTTTGACTTTTTGCAATACCAGCGATTCTGCTAATGCTGACTTTGCAACTAACGAAGATAAGTCTGTTGAGTTCTCAACTAACGAGTCGTATGATAAATCTAATTCTTTTAAAACAAGATTCATAGCAGCGTATTGCGAAACGTAAAGCAAATTGTATGACTTGACATTTCGGGCTTTTTCTAATTTTTTTTTCAACAATTGACTTTTTGCACGACCGCAGACAACGTCACTTTCTTCAACTACGTACTTGTCGATGAATGGAGCCAATGTTATTTGCCTTCCTGCAATAATGCCTTCATTGAGTTCTGAATATAGCTTGACTGCCTCTAACGAGTCTACAAAGGTCAGTTTAACATTACCAGAAAATTTACCTTCTTTATTTGTCATGAAATAGATCGAATAACCGGAAGTATACTTATCTATAATTTCACGAATATCATTTTCAGTAGAGTCATATGGTATGTTAAACATGACTAATACAGGGTTTTTTTTTATCAGCTCAATTTTTCTATGATCCTCTTCTTGAGTTTGACTAGTTTCAGACGTTTCCGACAAGGCTTTTAATTTTTTTTTCGATAATTTAGACCAAGGATTCGATGTAAGCAAGTCGGATTTTGGCATAGCGTATTCGACTTTAATCTTTCTGCTGTCCAGAAAAGTTCCGTCCAACTTGTTTTTCACCTCCTCGGCTTGAATATCGTTAATAAAACCAACATAACCAAACTGTCTAGACACTTTATTATGGAGAACGATTCTGACATCGGTTATTTGAGCATTATGACAAAATTTTAATATGTGGCCTTTCAGCTGCTTTTCATCAACGTATCTCAATAAGTTAGAAAAACGTAATCTCGAAGACTTGACGTCTGATTTAGATTTCATTTAGCATTGATACGAACTAGCTCGTATGTTTTCACCAAAATTTAGAAAAAAGTATTTTGTTAGTAAAAAGAGAGCCTAATTACTTATAAATAACAATTTTTCTTGGTATTAATTAAAACAATAAATTTACGCATAATATACTCATATTTGTTACTTACTGTACTGAATAAATGAAAAATAAAACAAAGAACTTTAAAATATGTTACATACACTTTTTATGAATAATTGAGTTTCCGTATTCGGCGTATTCATGGTATGAGATCCACATGTCTTGGAATGTTGACAAAGATGCAAGAATGCTTCCTCCGATCCAAACAGAAAACTTTCGTTCCGTTGGTGCAACAACTTTGATTCCGATGGTACTTGGAGCGAGTTTAGATATATCTTTATCCAATCTGTCACTGATACCGGGGTATAAGGTACTTCCTCCAGACAAAACAATATTGCTGTATAAATCTTTTCTGATGTCCACATCACAGTTCATAATACTGTTGAAAGTTGTGTCGTGAATACCGTAAACTTCATGTCCAATAAGTCCAGGTTGAAACAACGCTTCTGCTGTTTGGAACCTTTCAGAACCAATGGTGATTATTTGTCCATCTGGCAATTCGTAAGCTTCTTCGATCTCTTCGTTGTTATCCGCTCGCTGAAGTTCTTCTTCGTAGTTCAAAGCTACGTAACAGTGTTTCTCCTTGATGTCGCGCACAATTTCTTTTTCAGCGGAAGTTGTAAACGGGTAGCCCCGTAACTGGAGCAACAGAGCTAAGTATTCAGTCAAGTCTCTTCCTGCTAGATTCATACGCATGATTGCATGTGGCAAAGCGAAACCTTCGTAGATGGGAACTGTATGCGATACTCCGTCACCACTGTCAAGCACAATACCAGTAGTTCGTCCAGACGAATATAAAGAAAGAACGGCTTGAATGCTGACAAAAGTTTGAGGTACTGAAAACACCTCAAACATCATTTGTATCATTTTCTCGCGATTTACCTTTGGATTCAATGGGGCTTCTGTTAATAAAACAGGATGCTCGTCCGGGTGAACGCGCAATTCATGGTAAAAAGTGTGACTCCATATTTTTTCCATATCATCCCAGTTAGTTATGATACCATGAGCAATTGCGTACTTTAACGTGAGCACCCCACGTTTTGATTGAGCTTCATCTCCGACATACCAGTCTTTTTTCTCTAATCCTACCATTATACCATTGTGTTTAGGACGACCAACTATTGATGGAAAAACTACGCTCGGAGCATCCACACCTGCTGGACCGGCTTTAACCATACCCGATCCGTTATCAATTACTATAGCATTTATATCATCCTCCATCTTTACAAATTACAGTAAGATCAATTTGAAATTATAAATTATTCTTCAAAAAAAATACATTCGCACGCTGTGTGTATAATCTCTCTATCTTAGAAGTAAAAATTTAATTTAAACAAGAATAAATATAACGCCACAAAATTTCAAAGAGGAGACGCGTTGATTTATTATAGGGGTGAGAAATAAAGTAAAAATTTATGTAAGCACTGTAAAATAAAACTAAATTCACTGTTATATTTAACTTTGAGCTGTTTGTTTAGCACTTTCTTTAAGAAGCAAAGAGTTGTGTATTTTTTGAATTTCAACTGTTACGATTTTCAATTCTTCTATCGCTTCTGCTTTTTTTTTTTCACTTGAATTATATTCATTTTCCAAAAAGTCAATTCGCTCCTTCAAATTTAACAAACTTTCTTCTTTGCTACAAACTATCAACGAAACTCCGCTTTTTTTCCAAATTCTATGATTATCGTTTAATTTTATAGTCTCGGCTTGAACTGCTTTGTTTTCATTTATTTGTATTTTCTGATTTCGTAGATTCGTTTCGAGTATTTCAACTTTTTTTGCTAAATTGACATATTTATCCTGTAATTCTTTATAATTAGCTTCCATTTCTACGGTTAGTCTGAAAGATGGCTTTAAGCAATCAAAAATATAATATGCTTGTCCTATAAACTAAATATTATTTGATAATTATAAAATTAATGAATTATGAGGAAAACAAGTCGTTGCTACAGTACTCCTCATCAGACGAGTCAGATAATTTAGTTAAAAATAAAAAAATATATAAGAGGGCCAAAAACACACGTAGTAATCCATCTAAAAAAGCTTTCTTTATCAATAATTTTGAGCAAGTGCAAAAAAACGAAATTGACATTGAACAACATTATTACAACAATGTATGTCTAAAAAAAAAAGTGAACGATACTATTGGCCAAAAATTTGATAGTTGGATGTTATTCAAGCAGAATAATTATTTATCTGTTGTTACAGAGCATTTTAATGTCCTTGTTGATCCACTAGAGAACAAACTAATTGGGTCATATAAAAACGCTTACCCAGTCTCAATTGACTTGGACGATGAAGACAGAACCAATAATTTTTTAACGAATGGAAATATTTTACTTTGTTTCAATAAGAGTTGTAGATTACAAATAATAGATCTAAACAATAAATTTCTTTCAACTAATTACCGACAAACATATAGAGGGGATATGTACTTAACAAATTTGAAAAACATCCATGGGCATACTCAGACCATTACTACAGCTGCTTTTGACCCGTTGATCGATAACTTAATTTACACAGCAGGCTATGATGGTACCTTGAGAGTTTTTTTTTTGAGTGAGTCTTATCGTAAAGGAATCGCTGAATCGTTAATTGCTGCAAAGACATATTGCATACCTAAAGGACTTGAAATTTTTCGAATATTCATAACCGCGTTGGACGAGAGTGAACGCATTATAACATGTCAAGATGCTGATTCAAGTTATACTTTTTACGAAAAAGATTTGAAATCCGTGTTTACTATTGCTTATAAAATTAATTTAAATCTTAAGAGAGCTATTAAGTCCCTTGATTATCTTGTGATCGACACAAATGAAGAACTTTATCTTAATTCTAATTTTATTATTTACGTTAAAAACGGAAATAGAACTAAAACAACATTGCACAGTAAAATCTGGCATCCAAGGTTTATTATAACCGATTCTTATATTGCTTTGCTGCTCAGAAATCAAACCTTAGTCACAATTGATACTACTGGAAAGGTTTTAGAAGAGATACTGTTGAATAGTTACTGTTCGGATAATGACCAACTTATTAACGCAGTAACTTACAAGAGCACCACTATAATTTTATTTGCAAACTTTACAATAGCGATAAATCCAGGTCAAAATCTTCAATATAATTGGAGTAACAACGATGATATTCTAGAAACTATTAGTAAAAATGATACCTTGGTCATGGAAGCAAATATTCCAGAAAATCTTGAAGACTATCTTAAAGAAACTAAAGACGGTGAATATTACGTACATGAAAGGAGACCTAATTATCGTTAATCCCAGTTTTTTTAGATCTAAACATTTGGGGCGTCATTCACTATGTCATTCTCAAGTCTTGCAATCCATTTAGATTCATATTCAGCCTCATTTCGAACATAAGAAACTAACTCAAGTGCTAACGGTCTTAACCAATGCCCTTCTGGATTATAGCTAAAACAATTTTTCTTAATTAGTTCAACATCTTCGAAAAACTCATTTGAAGACCTATATAAATGAGCCTCAGCTTTATCTAAGATTTTTTTGACCCACATTGGCTTTTTTATGGTTGAATAATATTTTGGAGCCAAAGATTCGTTAACTGGGTCCAAAAACCACGAAAACGATTTAATTCTAAGAGCTGGTTGCAGGAAACTGTATAGTGAATCGTTCAAACACTGAATGGCATCTTCGTTTGTGCCTCGATAGTTATTGTGTAAATGTCTTATCATAATTTTTTTGTGAAGGTGTATTTGAGAAGAATTATCTTTTTTCGATCTATTATTATCAATGTAATTGGGCTGGTCAGCGTCGTTGTAGTAAAGATATTTGTCTTGGTTATAATTATCTGCATTATAATCAGTGTGAATATGCTTGTGGCTATCTTTATCATCGTTATGATGGTGATGACTGTTTTTGAGGTTTTCTTTATGAGTTAACAAGAAAGTTTTCTCGTCATATGTTTTATAAATAGATTCGGAATTTACACGGTATTTTTTGTAAATACGTTTCGATCTCCAGTTGATAAACTTTAAGATAAGCTCTGCCCCTATGATGTAAACAACTTTGTTTCTTGCGTGTTTCATGGGGCATTTTCGTACCCATCTTAAAACTGGAATGCATTGGGAAGCCGCAATCTTAAGTTTTTTCAATACTTCTATGTCATCAATTAAGCGTAGCCATTCTATTGCAGATTTTATATTTTTTTCAGATGAAAAAGGAAAAACTACATTTAAAAAGTTTTTGTCGCATAGATCGGAACCGTACTTTTCTGTTTGTTCCTTCATATCTTTATTAAATGCCAGCGAAGCGGCCAAAGCAATTTTTTGGAATCTAGGGCAATTACCAGTTCTATAATCAGGATTCATTATTTTATTTATTGACCATATCTCTTTCAATAATGATTTACCTGAAGTATCAGCGCTAAAACCTTTAGTATTTTCTTCTTTCTCCACATCAGAAAATTTCATAGTTTTAGTATCAGAATCGGTACTGGATACTCTAGAGTTTTCAGTATCGTCATTTGGTGATACAAAAGTACTGTTTATTTCTTCTGATAAACAATCATTTTCTAAATCATTAACCAGTAAATTTAAATCTTGTAATTCCGGATTATTGAAATCATTAAAAATACACGCTAGATCTTTCTTTGTCATAGGCACTGTTGAATCATTTAAAAAGTCTACATGACGATCTAAAAAATTTTTATTTCCAAGCTTTGTTGAATCGGTTTTCAAATTTGGTACTACATTACGCAACGATCTAGGTCCTAATATAGCAGCAAATCTACTATAAATAGAAATCAATTCAGCACGTGAAAGTCTCGCTATAAAATTTAAGTTAAAACCTGCATAAGCCATCGCTTCTTGAATTTCATCTGATGGAGTGCTTTCAGCATTGTTTCGTGTGAACTGTTCAATAAAAAGTAACTTCGTCGGATTTATTGAAGAATTACAAAGTTGCAAGACGTTAAGAGAGTCATTTAAATTATTTTTTAGATTTATCGAAGCACTTTCGCGCGTAAGAATTGAAGTTATATCATCTCTCCAAAAACACAAAAATTCACCTCTACCTACACTATATTCAAAACTTGAACCTGACAAAAATTGGATATGTTTTTTTGAGTTCACTTCACAATAGTTCCTAAAAATTTGCCATGGGGAAAAAAATACTTGTTCTTCAATAAAGCGAGCAATGATACTCTTTTTAATGTTAAAAGCTGCTTCAAGTGATCGATAAGGAAATGGTAAACTAAATAGCTGAAATTCATATTTAGATGGATTATATTTGAAATTCAAAGAAACCAGTTTTTTTCTGTATTCGGTCCACATTGCGTAAATTCTACACCAATGTGCATCACTAATTGTTTCATGTGATTGAAGCATCAATCTAGATATAGCCAGACGATCGCATGACCTGATATATTTTATACCCATTTTAGACAGTTTTTGCGAGTAATATTGAGCTGATACAATCGCACAAATTTGTTCCGGTTTAATGATTTTATATATACTTTCTTCGCTTGCCACTTTGATCATAATATCATTAAAAGGGATTTTAGGTTTTTGGTTGTAATTATTGATAAAACTATCGTTATCTTTATTTTGCATCAACGGAGCGAGAATTTTTTGTATAGTTTGCATTTCAAACCAATTTGAAAAAAATTTTAAGCATTTCGCCTTATTTAAACTAAACTTTCTAATACCCAATAGACATAACCTTAATGAATAAGATTCTACCCATTGTTTTTTCCATTCTCCAATTTTTTTCCCCTCTGGACCCGGAATTTCAATGATTGGCTCAACCTGTCCGAGTAAATAAACTGAAGTTACAGGTGAAAAAGAGTTAAGTTCAGGGAGATATAGTGGACGAAGCGAACATTTTACCTCAACGTTTTTTGAAGAGATAGAAGTAGATCGAACCAGTAAGAAATTAGTGAGTCTATAATCATATAAATTTAAACCATCCGCGTATTCTTTAATTTGATAATTGTATTTTTTTGTTTCTTGCTTTCTTTGTGTAAGGTCATCAAGAAGTTTTTTTCGTAAAGTTAAGTATTCGATAGGAGTTGAGAAAGGCGTAGCTTTATCTTTAGGAAAAGCTGAAATCACTGCATTACCAAGAGAAGAGTGATAAATCAAAACTCCAGTATCTGATGCTAGTTTGTAAGTGGAATTAAATAATTTAGGATTTTCATTGTACCTGATATTCTTGTAATTAATAAAATCTCCAAAATTAGTTGTGGCTGTCGCTGGTTTCCTTTTATAGTGAGGTCTAGTATAATAACCTTTAGGTGGAAAAGGCTTTTTCTTATCAGCTTCTTCGATTTGGGATAAAATCGAACGAGATTTTTCATGATTTTCTTCCAACGAGATATTCTCTAAAACACTATTTGTTTTACTGTAGCGCTGAGTAGGATTATGCACATGAGAAAATGCAGTTTCATTTTTTTGCAAGAAAGGAGGAGTTCCTTTATAATATAATTGCAATTTCACACCCATTCCGGGCAATAACACGACAGGCGTTTCATAAGAATGTTCTACGACAGCAATGTCACAGTAATGACGTAAAGTTAACGAATCTACCGTAGTAAAGTCCGACACTGATTTCTTTTTAACTTTATTTTCTGAATCAAATATCAAATCAGTACTAGGAAATTCTATATTCCACTGTCCATACAAATAGTTTTCCTTACACCCGGATATGATATCTGTTTTTTCCTCATTTTTTTCATGATCTAATATCTCTTCAATTTTTTTTTTATAGAGATTATAATTGGATTCTTCAAAAAGATCCATTTGATAAACTTCGTGGAAATAAGCGTAATAAAGTCCTGTTCTAAACTCTCCTCGCATCATTCTATTTAAATGTGAAATTTCATTAGTTGGAACAATTCCAACAAATTTCCAAGCTACTGGCGTGGAAAAGCCTGATGCACGCGACGTATTCGACTCATAATCAGCTGAGAAATATTGGTCAGTATTGCTTTGATTTAAAGATTTAAGAGGACGATATGTACTGTTAGCGTCACGGTAAAATAAATCATAATCTTCAATCAGATAAGAAGAAGCGACATTACCTGTCATAAACTTTTTTTTTCTCATAAACTCGTTGTTAACAAAATTTTTGTAATAAAGCCTTTTTTTGTTTGCTATTGAAAAAGGCAACTCTGACAAAATCGAATAGTTGATTTTTGGAAAATCTTCAAGACTACTTCCCAACGAATTTTTCATAGCATCAATAATAGACGCTTCATTTTCAATAAACCGTTTATCACTTTTACCATACGCAAAGCATACGTCTCGAAATATTGAATAATTATGCAACAATTCGTAAATAACGCTCTGAGTTCGTAAAGAGATGGATTCTAAATTTTTAAATTTTGTGTGATATGTTGGTTCCATAATAACACAATTCAAACAATTTCCAATCGTTTTTCGAATTATTGACATTAAATAATTGTCATTTGTAGTGGTTGAATTTCCAAATAACTCGTGTAAATAGTTAGTTTTATCAACACGATTAGATTGAACAGCCCTTCTTTCTAATAATGAAAAAAAATTTTTTGAACTAGTAATAACCCAAGCTGAACGTGGATTATAAATCGAATCTAAAAAATTCTTGTGATTTTGACTTGCTAACAAATGATTATAATGAAAATCTGTCACGTCTGAACTTATTTGCAAATTCATTTTATTTTTGTATGAGTCAACCGCTTCATTAAACAAATTTAATAAATAATCATCTTCACATTTCTCTCCATCCAACAAAGTTTCACTGTTGTTTTCATTTATCAAATCTAAGCTGGTCAACTTTTTACTAGACGATTCACATTGATTTTTTTTTTTATAATTAGTTTTTTTGTCAACTTCTCCCCACTCATCTGTTTTAATTTGAATTGCTTCTTTTCGCGACTGAACACGAAGTTTTTTTTTTTTTGATTCACCATCAATAGTATTTTTTGAACCATAAATAGAATTAATCACGTTAATATTTTTAGAATTTACGAGTTCTATATCACTTTTTTTACTTCCTTGCGTTAATTTATCCGCTTGTTCTTTATTTTTAGCGGCAAAAAATTTTGAATCATTAAGTTTATCTAGTAACTTAAAAAAATACAGCTAAAAGCATTTCGTTATTTTCAACTTACTGAACCATCGAAAAAATCTTGCATTTACTCAAAAGAAACTTCAAATGAAATAGTAATTATTTTAAAGTTCTGCAAAACTGTATTTGTAAAACAGAAATTTGATGATTTGAAAGAGAAATTGAATTTACGATAAATTATTTAAAATTTTTTGGTACATATTTATATCATGGTAGAGATAGTTTTATTTTGACAAAGTAGATCGTCCAGTCGTGATATTGAATTTTTATTACCACGCGCTAGTGCGCACAATAAAAAGTTTTTACCAAAGATAACATAGGTATGCTAGATCAGGATGCTTTTCGATTGGCCAAATTTCTTATTAAAACAGTACCCATAGTGGTCAAAACCAATATTATAAATGCGATTAGAATTATTCGAATTTGGTCTAATGTTCAAGAATTAGATGAGCACAGTTATCCCAATAATATCGAAGGAAATATTATTTTAGCAAATTCAAACGATTCACTATTTAAAAATAAATTTTGCCAGCATGCAATAATCGTGATTGATTGTAATTGCGAGCTGTGTAAAGATCTCAGAAGCTCTATTAAAGATCTTAATAACGAATCATATTGTAGGTATTGTTTAGAAATTTATAATATAATAAATGCGCACCAACTCAACAGTTTCACTCTGAAAAATGCGCTGAATTATAGAGAACGCCCTCGATTAGTTTTCATAAGAAAACTAGCTTGTGAGTTTTGGGATTTTGCTAAAATGGTATATCCAACTTGGTTTATGACATATAAGACTTCTTTATTGAATATGCAATTATTTAACGACGAAGAAACAGATAAAAAATTTCCACATCTAAAGTGGATCATTACTGAGAAAGGAAAATTCACAAAATATCCTTTATTTAGAATGGGTTTTGATAAGTTATTGTATCGCATAATAATAATTATTCGAGGTTCAACTAATATAAAAGATTGGATGATAAACTTCAAATGTACTCAAATAAAAGTAGGTTCCAGTTATTTTCACAAAGGAATGTATGAAAGCATGCTAAATATTTCTAAATTAATAAATGAACCTATTAAGAATATAATGAATAAATTCTCACAGAAGCATATAGCTATACATATTTCAGGACATTCTTTAGGAGGAGGGTTAGCTGCAATGCTCGCGATTCATCTGCGGAGTCAATATAAAAATGTATACGCTTGGTCTTTCGGAGCACCTTGTATATGCGATTTAAATACGGCTACTATTGGGGTTTCATTCATACGTTCATTTGTTTATGGAAAAGATTTCGTTCCTAAACTTAACTTAAATATGGTGTTACGTACTTTATATTTATTGGAACGATTGTCAAATTTACAAGACGTAGAGATAAAGGAAAACTTTCCAAAAGTTCTGAGAAATGTTGAAGATAAGTTTCCAAAAAAAGTAATTCCAGAAGATTTCGATGTACACAGCGAAACTGAAGAAAATGAGAATAACATTACTGTTAGTTATTTAAATAGTTATGGGCAAAAATTTTTAACTAATCAAAATGAGGAAATAACAACCTTTCAAGAAACTCAAATAAAGAAGTCAGCTTTTGCAAATATAATATTTCTTCCTAATTCAGCTCACGTTATTTCGCTATTATCGAACATAAGTTTTTTAGGCAATAATCTGAAGCTTCCCAACATAGTATCCTCTACACTAACAGGTTTGCAGAGTTTTTTGTATTCAAACAATAATAATAACATACTAAACAATGAAGAAGTTTCCAACAAGGAAAACGAAGTTTTAAATGAAACTCAAAATAAAATTACAGAGCAAATAGAAGATATATCACAAATGACAGAAGGTACTTCTGATGAAAAGATGACTGTTTCTGAAGAAATAGAGGGGACCTCTGATTACATTTATAAAAAAATTCAAAAGATTTTATATAATAACATATTCATGCCGAAGAATTCAATAGTTTTAACACCTAAAGATAAAATCGATGAATCGGATCTATTGTCAAATGAAATAACAGAATTAGGCAGTTTATCTAAGCTAACTACTGATTCAGATCAAAAAGCATTTAATATTGAAATTAACGAGGAAGCAAAACATATTTATTATACGTTACTAAATATTAATTCCAAAGGACAAGAACAAGATTTATTTCCTGCAGGACAAATTATTCAGATTCTGCCCGTAGAACATATTAATGATAAATTTTTTAGTGAATTCGAATCAAAATATATTCAAGAACAATATGGAAACTTCATCTATATTGATGTAAGCGAAAGCAGAGAACATAATCAAGTTCCGAGTTTTTCGTTGACGGCGTTATCTGATCATTTAATTCAAAGTTATGAGAAAGCTTTCAAATCTGATTAAGATTTAGGTAAAGTAGACAAATCTGGAAAATACAGAAAATCATTTGCTCCAAAATAATCTTCATTGACGTTTTTGGCCAATGTATCTAGATCAATTTCTTCTCTCTCATTAGTTTCATGACTTTCATCGATTTCTACTCGAGGCAAAAATTTACTCGCTCCGTACCAGTGAGTTCCATCTTTAGCAATTACAAAATCGTTTTCAAGGGGGTTATAATATTTAACATAAACACCTCCTAGTTCTTTAATTCGTTTTGACCACTGATTTTTAATGGAAACAGTTTCGTTTATTAAATCATTTAGATTTACGAGTTCTTTTTCACTCAAACTTGTGTCTTGAATTTTTATCAAATGCGTAATCAAGTCTCTACTAATTTTATTTCTATAAGCCTCAGCTAAATCTAATTTATATACTGATCGAGGATCATTGGGTATTTGTAAGGTTTCGCCACCTTGGATGACATGACGCATAGTATGCCATCGATTTAGTATAAGCAAAGCCCTTTCCGAATTTCTCGCCATTATAAATTATTTACGTGTAATTAGTACATTTTCCTACCTACTTTATTAATGAGCATTAAAACTATTTTGTATAATTTAAATTTTTTATTAGTTGTACAATAACAAATATTTTCTATTGATAATTAACTCTGTAATTACAACAGGAAAAAAATCATTAAATAAACGCATCTGTATGGTATAGCAAAACAATCGGTTATTTAAAATGCACATTCGAGGTTTATTTAGCTACATTGTTGATAATCGATTAACAACTACTACAAAGTTTTCGACATTAAGGTACGTTTCAACTACAATCAGTCTGACTTAGTAATTCAATAATTTTAATTGATGCCCAATGGTGGCTAGAGACTCAATTGATCAAGTATCCACTGGAAGTTCTAGCAGGTACTATTTATTTTCGAATACCTAAATTGTTAGAAGAATTAACTTCAGTAGCCAAAAAGAATTCTTTCCATGTTATATTTATGTTCAGCGGGTTGAAACCCGGAGTCGAGTCTTATTTCGATAAATTTCCTAAGAAAGATGTTGAAGAATTTTGGTTGAAATATTATTCGCAGTCCAGTGACGAGTTTAGTCCTGAAAAATTGCTACCAATGATAAATCACTTACTTAGAAAAACTACATCAAGATATAAATCAAAACTCACTTTGGAGCTTGAAAAATTGCAGATTTTGTCTATCGGATGTCCTTATGATTTCAATTCGCAAGCTCATCATTATAAACAATTTTACGAAAACGTTTATATTTACTCGTCTCCAGAATGTTTAATCTATGATTATCACGAAATAATTACAGATTATAATATTTCCAACGATACTTATGATCTTTTAGAATTTGAAAAAGTATCAAGCTACACAAATCTGCTCCGGTTAAATTTAAGACAAGCTACTTTGTTAAGTGGAGGTGAATATTTACAAACGCATCCCGTAATAGACGCATTCGGACCCGCTAATACATTCAGTGCTGCAATTACAGCGCTAAACACACTTTCTTTTAATAAAATAGTTAATTGTATCAACGAACCAAGCTACATAAATTACTTGAACACGGTTAAAATGGTGAGTAAATTTGAAAGAACTAAGATGTTTTTTGACGACTCAGCCAAATTAATTATAGCGAATTTGCCGAAAAAAGACATACCTAACGTGCTTCCACACACAATAGGTAAACAACTTCCAAACAATTTGTACGAAGCGTTATATTATTTGATAATTACTCCTGAAAGCCTTCAACCGCTTGCTACCAATATTCTCAATGAACACATATCTAAGCCAATAATCATCAGAGAATGGTACGAAGTAATTAAAGCTTTAATACCAGCACGGTTAATGCAACTTGGGCTACTAACAAATCATTTTACCTTAGAATATAAATTTAGTGGATGTGTATTTAGAAATCCTTTTGGATGTTCCATTTACAATAATGTGAATAAGAATAACATAAACGAAATTTGTTCATTAAATCACACCAATAACCAAGAAAATAAATATTTACCTTATACTACAACCTTTGATTCAAAAGATTTATCAACTACAGCAGAGGTTTTAGTATTGTCGCTTTTGAAAAACTCAAGACGTAAAGACGATATTTTTCCACTCCGAATTTGTTTTATAACTATTTCTAGTTTGTATTTACACGTTTTAGGCTTCATAGAACAAAACGGAAACCCTTCTCCATTGTTCCCTTGTTTGAACAACGAGATCATTCAATCAGAATTCATTAAACCGATCTTAATATACGTTACCTTGTTAAAAAGCGATCTCATTCATGGCAACAAATTAGAAGTTTGTCTTGTCAGTCTATCCAACAGTATTTCTCAATTAACACAAAAAGAAACAGACATGCTGGTTTCAAATTACAATTATATAACTAAATCTTCTTCGGTTCCTGAAATTGTTATTAATAGATTAGAAAATTACATTAAACTAATATCACGTCTTGCTTGTTTGGTTCCGTTACTGAGTGACGATATAAGAAAAGATCTTGTTACTGCTTTTCCCAATCCTGATTTATTAGCTTTTATATCGCTCATTAATTACATAGCTGATTTCCAAAACGAATTATTAAATTGCTGTATTCATGATACCCTTTTCAACACTGATGAAAAAACTAATGAAATCAAACAAGAACTGGAAAATCTAAAAAAGAATAATCCAGATATTAGTGATGAAAATAAATGGTTATTTAATAACCGTCCAAATTTCAACGTGCCTATAAACAGCGAAAAGAAAATTAATATCAAAGAAGTTAAATCTATAAGTTACGATCTTTTCGGTCAAGAAGAATATACTACTGAAGTAGGGATGTTTATCCGTTCCCTATTTTTATGTGACTTACAAAAAAACAATTGTTTCGACTTTTTGTTGAAACACAAGTTGTTTTGTAATCCGATACAAATTATAAAACGAGTTAAATCTTTCGTCAGTATATGTTTGAAAATTCACGCAGTTTTGAAGCCTCAAACTTTCAATGACTTTTTGCCGGCCTACATTTACTTCAGCAATATTTGTTCTCTACTGTTAGAGAAAAATGACCCGAAATAAATTTATAATAATCTTTTTATTATAATTTGTCATGAGATAGCATTAAATAAGTGAAAAAAAATTTTTTGTTAACGTTTACTATCTGTATATGAATGTGCCTCCTGAGTTTCTTAGACTTTTAAGTCAGTATCTATGCTACGATTTAACTAGTATTACCAAAGAAGAATTTAAAATTTTAACAAATTTTGAACATCTTGACGAAATCAGAAACTTTTTAAATATATTGTCTTTGGAACTTCTATCAAACAAAGAATTTGATGACTTCATTTCATCAGCAAAAGAAATATTAACTAACAATTTTAGAGACTATGATGAAGACTATGAAAATACTTCTATTCAACAGGCTGGCAATACTATATCAATTTTTAGTGATACCATAGATTGTTTAAATAAGTCATCAGAAGTGGAGCCAATAAAATCTTTCTTATCAAATGAAGAATTAACGAGAGAAGAATTCACAAAGTATAATGACTGTGAAGAACCACCTACTTGTTATAATAAAATTAAAAATAAATCAAACATTAAGGGCAAAATAAATTTATGCGGTTGTGACGCTCGCCAACATTTATATCATACTAACTGCATTTTTTGTGGTTATATACATTGCAAAAAAGAATTGTCTATCAACTGTTTATGTTGTGGAAAATCGCTTTCAACTGATTTTCCAAAACAAGACAAATACAATGAGCTAGAATATCAAACAAGTAAATTAATTTACAATCAATGCAATGAAATTTCTCCTTACATAGTAATAGACGAGAACTTAGATTTATTTAGTGAAATTTACAGTGATTTTACTAATGAATCAAAACAAAAAAAAATTGAAAAAATAATTTTTGAATTATCAAAAACTGAAGATGCAAAAATAAAAACAAATATAAATTGTTATGATTACAAAAATGAACTATCGTACTTAAGTTCCTTGCAGAAAATTAAACCCGATACTAAAAGATTAACATCTTTTTTTAATAATAATATTTTGTTAAATAATTTAAAAAATACTACTTTTAGTAAAATTATAAATCAAGTAGAAATAGAAGATGTAAACGTTAAAACTAGTCTAGATTCGTCATTTTTTTTAGCAAATAAAAATGAAGTTCTCTCCTTTTTCGAAAAAATAAATTACTAATCTTAAAATATTGTTCGATTAATAAATTAATTTTTTTTATTATTTTGTCGAAATTTAACCATATAATTAATATTAAATTGATTTTTAACTCGTAGTTTCATATTAAGCTCAATATGTTAAATAATAATTAAAATTTAAGAATGTTTCATGATTAAAAATGAATGCTTAGATCAAATAGATATAACGCATAAAGCGTTAATAGATGTTTCTTCAGTTAAAATTGACACATCTGCCAAAAATTTAATTGACGACAATTCCAGCACTTTTTGGCAGACGTTTTCGTGGAGTCCGCACGTAATTACGGCCACTTTCACCGAAAGAATGGAATTTACGAAGGTTGAGATAAATTTATCGTTAAAAATGGATGCTACTTATACACCAACAAAAATTTTGGTCAGGATTGGCGAAAACCGTTATTTTATGACTGTAAGTTATTGAGGTTATTTAATTATAGAGTGTCGGTAAATACAATTTGGAATGTCCGGAAGGCTGGATGGAATTGAAGATTAGCTCATTTGAATTTGTCAAAACAGCGATAAACTACGCAAAAAATTTACAAGAAATGAATACAACCACAGCCAAACCGTATTTGTACCGTAGCTTAGAAGGAGTTTTTATTGATAGTAAAATTGAAAAAAAAGAACTTTACAACTACTGCGATGCTGAGTCAAAAATAAAAGGTAGCTGTCTACAAATTATTATACTTGCAAACGAGCAGAACGGCCAAGACAGTCATGTTCGCGGTATCAAAATCTTTGCGAAAAAATAAGTAATTTAAACCATTTCATCGAGAAAGTCGTCTTTAACTGTTAATGAATCTTTGAGTTCAGGCTGAAAAAATTTGTAAAGCAACGATAAGTCGCAAAGATACGCTTTGCAAGAGGCTTGGTCAAAAGCAAGAAGCCAGTTCTTTGTTCTGTTTAATTTCAAACAATCGATGTTTGTTTCCTCACAAGATGGAATAGAAGTGAAAGTATCATAATGCGATATTTTATTGTCTTCGAAAATTCCAACCTGAATTTTTTCGCTACAATCACTATAAAAAAAAAATCGATCGTCGTAGCCACAAATAACTGACGCTCCGTTTTCTAAAGGATATAAACCTCTTAATTCCAATGAATTTTCTTTTGTGCCAGAAAAATACAAACCTTTAGACGTCGCGTAAACTAAATTTTTTCCTTGGTTTATAAGACACATAGAATAAATCTCAAAATCGTATTCTTCGCTTTCATATAAAAGCTTTTGGTTTGGATATACAAGTTGGTACTTGTAAACCTGATTTCCAGCTGCCACATACATTTTGCTCTGATCCAACAGCACAAAGTTGACGATGTCGTCATTCAACGCGATTAAAGGAGGTAAATTTTTGCATAGTCGTATGTCAAAAAAGTTTATAACCCCATTATCACATCCATACAATAAAACATTGTTTTGGACCCATTGAACAGTAAATACCCTAGCAATGGTCGCGTTAGTTTTAGAAATTTTTTGACCAGTGGTTGCACATATAACAGCTATGTCGCCTTGACTGTCACCAGTAGCGATGTAGTCACCTCTGGCTGCAACTGAATAAATTGCGGTTTTCCAATCGAGTTCATTAATTTTCGTAGCTCTAAGCGATAGTTCATCAATCAAATAACTAAAGAGATGTATAATCAACAAGGTTTTCAATATTTCCTACTGTTACATTATAAAATAATCTATGTGGAGCCAACAGTTTATAGCTAATGTTTAATACTTACGTGTAAAGTTTACCTTCTGCATTACCTATATATAGTAATTTAGGATCGTCAGAAAAATCGGCACAAAATACAGGACTCGTTGATTTTACTTCTATTTTTCTAATAGGGTCCATTTTTATTGATGATTATTAATTTTATGTAATGAATGAAAACAAAATAATAATATTATGAAGCGAAGTCTAAATATTATTAATTATAAGTATCTTAGACACAATAAACTATAATTAAAAAAAAAAATAATAATTTCTTTTTGTTTTGTGCGCAATGGAAATTACCTAGGGATTTGGTGCGAGTCTAGTAATTATATTTTCACCCTTGTTCGAAATTAAATTGATAAAAAAAATAATTTCAATATCCCAAGCTTAAAAAATAATTTCTTTTAGTACTTTTTTACTTGTACAAACGTCTAAAATCAATTGTTTACTTTTTAATAAATTAGTGGTGTACCATTTTTGGGTGATCACTTTTATCATGTACGCGATTGAATACAATCAAATCTAAAAAAAAGGTTAGATAGTGCGATTGCGAAAGCAACTTTATGTTGAATAATTGATTAGTTATTGTCAAATTAGAGTTTCAAATTGGTTTTTAATATGGAAATTCATGTAGCGGGACGTTTTTTATTAGGCAGAAAGTTAGGGAGTGGTTCTTTCGGAGAAATTTACATGGGTCGAAATTTACTGACTCAAGAAGATGTTGCGATAAAATTGGAACCGCTGCGCTCTAAGCATCGACAATTGTTATATGAATCGAAGCTTTATAAAGTGCTTAACGGCGGTGTAGGTATTCCCGTGGTATTTTATTACGGCGTGGAAGGTGACTATAATGTTATGGTGATGGAACTTTTAGGTCCTAGTTTAGAAGACTTATTTTTAATGATGGGCAAGCAGTTTTCTTTAAAAACGGTTTTGATGCTGGCGGACCAAATGTTGAATCGCATTGAGTATGTGCACTCAAAGCATTTTGTACATAGAGACATCAAGCCAGACAATTTCGTAATGGGACGGGGCCGAAGGGTAGATATTGTTTATATCATAGACTTTGGATTGGCAAAAAAATACCGTGACTTTCGAAGTTACTTACATATCCCCTACAAAGAAGGCAAAACATTAATTGGCACAGCTCGGTATGCGAGTATATCTACTCATTTAGGTATTGAACAAAGCAGAAGAGACGATATGGAAGCTTTGGGATATGTGTTGATGTATTTTAACCGCGGTTTTTTGCCTTGGCAAGGTATGCGTGGAGGAAATAAGAAGGATAAATATGATAAGATCTTAGATAAAAAAATTGCTACGACAACGGAAATGCTTTGCCGAGGTTTTCCACATGAATTCATAACCTACTTGAATTACTGTAGGTCTTTGAGGTTCGAAGACAGACCCGACTATGCATATCTACGAAGACTATTTAAGATTTTATTTTTCAATGAAAATTATAGTTTTGATTTCCAATTCGATTGGTCTCAACACTTTGAGTGTGACGACTACGTTGATGAAGATAATTATTAAATTTTTCTTTATAATACAAGAAAGTAGATATATTATCTGCTATTTTTGAAAAAGAATGCCTTATTAAAAAATAACGGTGGCAATTTCTCTATACATTTTAAAATTTACATACATTTACTGAAGTAGATAATAAAACGCTGCTGAACTAAGCTTAGCATAGTTTGACGCTCTAAATATAGAAATCAAAAAGCTTAATAAAATAATCGTTTTCATTTTAATTTTTGTTAGAATACGTTTTGCAAACTATTCTTTTATCATTTTCTTGTTGTTTGCTTTTGATAAGTAATTTCTGATTGCTATTTTTATTGCGTCTTCAGCTAGCAGACTACAATGAATCTTAATCGGTTCTAAAGCCAGCTTGTCGCTGATATCTTTATTTTTCAGTTTTAAAGCGTCATTTATTGTTTTTCCTTTGATGAGTTCAGTGGCGTAAGAGGAAGAGGCTATAGCACTTCCACAGCCAAAAGCTTTAAATTTGACATCTTTAATTATACCATCATCAACTTTGATAAACAGCTTTATGACATCTCCACACGCAGCTTTACCAACAGTGGCGGTGCCTACAGAATCATCATTTGGATTTAAAGAGCCTATGTTTCTCGGATTGTTAAAATGGTCTTTTACAATATCTGAAAGATGCTCTTTTTCTTTGGAAAAGTTTTGTGACGAATTTGACTTAATATTTGATGTATTAAGCATAATAAAATAATTTTACTTTTGGCGCTTATTTCATTTTGCAGAAAAAAAAGAAAAAAATATTATAAGTTAAAATATCAATCTTAAATAATACGTATAAATTTATTCAAAATAAATCATGGAAGCGTTAAACAAATACAAAGAATATTATGATGCATGGACTAGTGATAATGTAGTTTTTAGTTCAGAAGTTTTAAAAATTGCTCGTAGAAAAATAGGCTTGTCAAACGCATACCAATCGTTGACCATATCACCAAAAGCCGTAATCGTAAGTCAAATCAGTCCTTCAGTTAGTGTTCCCAATACTTTGAATTTGCTTCGTTTATTGTACAACAAAACTGTGTTGCTTGTTGATGGAAAGTTGACTAAACAAGTGACAAACAACGACTTAAAGCCTGTTTTGGACGAGTTTAAACGGTATTTACTTTTTAAAATCATTGTTGTAATTGAAAAAAACTCTGACTTTCACGATGAAATGGACAGATATCCATCTCTCAAAAAAATCTATCTAGAGAACAAAAGCAACTAAAATTTTGTGATTTATTATTTTTTTATTTTTGAAACCCGGAGTTATTATTTATCTCGTTGATTGCACTATATAAGCCAGGTTTCTGCGGTATTTCAATAATTTATTATATTTATTTAAAATGGCTAAAAGTTTCTCTGAAGTGTTAATTAAGTTTGTCTCTTGTGTCCCATCAATTCCGTTGCCAAACGAGTTAGATGTGTCTATGGTAATGCCTGCGACAACAACCAGAGGCGAACTTGTAGATTTACTTAACTTGGCTTTAAACAAAAATTCTCAGCACCAGTGGCTGCTAGTCATTAATTCAAAAATTTTTTCAACAAATTTAAAAGACTTTTTAACTACTTCTGCCTTGTCAAGTGAAAATGTGTTAGAAATATGCTACTATTTACCCCAAAGTGAATCGTTGCTTGATTTTGCTTTTGACACACCTGAAATTCCTTTTAGATTATACTCTTATCAAAATAAAATACTAGTTCTTAGTTATCATGGAAATTTATTTATATACAACCAAACGGAAAATCTGTCATTTAAACCGTTTGTAACAATTTACGGAAACGAATTTGGCGTTCTGAATTTAAAGGAAGTTAAAAATGGCATTTTCGTAGGAGTGACGGAATCAGGTGTCATTATAAAATATGATGTAGGTTATGCAGTTGATAATCCGTTACGTGCTCAAAAGGCCACCGTAATTGCTTCTTTAGAACTTCCTAGTAAAGCGAATGCGTTCACTTTTAACAATGAAAATACTCGACTTGCAATTGGAACTCAATCTGGTGATATTTTTTTAGTTATCGATCTACTAGGAAAAACATCATTATTTACAGATGTGAAAGGTATTACCAAAGACAATTTCCAGACAATTCACGTTGCGGACGTTCCAATCAGGTTTTTAAGTTTTTTAGAATGCAAAATAGATCGTCTTTACTATATTGTCATCTGTTTGTCAAACGGCGCTTTAGTGATGTTTGACTACATCGTAGGAGAAATTACTCATACAGGCGCAAACGGCAGTTCAATCTCCAGTGCATGTATGGATTCAAAAAAACTCATCGTTGGTTCTATGTCCGGATCTATTCGTCGATATGAGGTTTCTAACAATGGATTCTCTCTACTGAATGTGTATTCTTGCCATAGCGCCGCGATTACTTCAATAATTAGTTTTTCTGGCTCGCTGGATTCAGCTAAAAAACTTGTTGTAAGTTCAAACAGTGGACTTCTTTACATTTTTAACTCTGAAATTAATGAAAAAATTGCCACAATTGATGTCAATACAATAATGCCGAAACACGGTTTTGAACATTACTATTTCACTGCTACCGACTTGATGAAAGTCGACGAATACCTTTATATTGCAACTTCAAGAAATGAAGTACACAAAGCAAAGATATAATTAGTTTACTTATCAAGCAAGTGAATAACTAATATATTGCATAATTGTATATTATATAAAAAATATAGAATCTCTTGGTATAATACAATTAATTTGATCTAACTTAAAAAAGAAAATTTAACGCTAAAAAGTTAGTTATTTATAAACTATTTAGGCTATGTGACTGGGAATCATATTGTTGTACATGTTCCAATCATTGACACGGTTCCAGTTGTTTGATTCAGCAGCGGCATTCATTTCTTCTTCACCTTCGTCTTCGATTTCTGATGCAATTACGCCATCATCGGAAAGTCTGACTTCTTCAACTTCTCTGTGGAAGAAGCTGTCTGGAATGACATCCCATTGTTTACCTCTTGGAAGAGTGCTTCTGATCTTAAGAACTTCTTGCGCGAGTGCCCACAAAATAAGTCCGATGGTTTCTGGACTCTTAGTGTTGGCAGGAATTGCTAAGTGAATGCAACTCAAGTCGTCGTTAGAATTACACAAAGCAATGACGACAATATTTGAGTAGTAAGCTTCAATGATTGCTTGTCTGTCGGCAGATGCATCGCAAACTATGAGGATTCTAGGTTCCATGAAACGTAAAGTATTTTGATTAGTGAGGGTACCAGGAATCCATCGGTGTGGTGCGGGAGTGGCGTCGGTGTACTGACAGTACTTAAGAATTGGTCTCTTAGCGTATTGCTGGCTTCCAACGACGCAGACCGATTTAGGGTCGCTGGCACCGTTGATAATTCTAGCAGCAAACATTACGTTTTCAAATGTTTTTCTGAGGTTCAATAAAGTTTGTCCATGCTTAAGAGACGAAGCAATGTATGGCTTCATTTTGTTGTGGGTAACTGTGTTACCGATGTGGGCCTAAAAATCACTGCCGTCTAAAAACATACCTTGCATATTATTGCACGACGAATAAAATCGTCACTCTCTGCTTTAGTGATATAACTCATCTAGAGATTTTTTGAAATTAGCAAGAAATTAAAGAAATTATTATTCCATTTGTTACGATTTTTATTTGAATTATCTTTTAAAAGATAGCTTGTTTAAGTTTTTAAAATGGCGGTAAGTACTCTTTATAACATTTATATTCTTTTTAGGATTTGTATTTAGTAAACGAAGCATCTCTTGCATTCCAACCTAAGTCGGTAGAGCAAGAAAAAAAATTAAAGAGAAATACTGAGTTGTACCATGAAAAATGCGAAGCAAAGAAGGCCCAAGCCGAAAAACAAGCTTTGCTGATGAAGGAAGCTGCTGAGAAACTTGTCTACTACGAGGATCTCTATTCTAAAGAGGCTGCCGAAATCGAAGCAAAAAAACAAAGCGCTTATGCTTCACAATCCTTCTACAAACCCGCTGAACCTAAAGTTATGTTAGTCGTTAGAATCAAGGGTGTTAACAAGCTTTGCCCACGTGTCAGAAAAATTTTCCAGCTCTTCAGACTTTTCCAAATTCACAACGCCGCTTTTGTTAGAATTAACAAAGCCACTCTTCAAATGTTGAAGCACATCGAACCTTTCGTCGCATGTGGATACCCTTCCGTCGAAACCATTAGAAAGTTAATATACAAGCGAGGTTACGTTCGTGACGGTATGGCAGGAAAACAGTCTAGAATTAGAATTTCTAACAATGAAATCATCACCAAAAAACTTGGCCACTTAGGTGTAACCTGTGTCGAAGACATGGTTTACCAAATCTACACTAGCGGTAAAGCTTTCAAAGAAGTCAACAACTTCTTGTGGACTTTCAAGTTGCGATGCCCAAAAGGCGGTTTCGTCTGTAAAAGACACGGATTTTCTGAATTCCGTAGTGGTGACTGGGGTAACCGTGAAGAATACATCAACGAATTGGTTCAACGAATGATTTAATCAATTATCAATTTTTACTTCGTGCGTTAGCTTTTATATTTTGATATATAGTTATATTTATATTTTTATCGTTTTGAACATACATTACTAACGTCTAATAGAAAATTATAAAATTGAAAATTAGACTCTAAAGACCTACATATTGCGCTAATTGCGTCGAAACCTTTCAGAACCAGGTTTGATTTAACTGAATCCGTGAAAGAATCGTCTTTAATTATTTCTTCAGTCAGATTTTCAATCAAATATACTAAGTTACATCCAGTTTTAACAATTTCCGAAAACAGCTCGTTGTGACTGTGATCTCCACTAGTTATTTTCTTGTATAGTGTCGTAACTAGGCCCGGATTTGGAAAGCTTGAGAGCGAGTAAATTTCGTCTGTCGTTAAACTGTTTCCATAAATTGCATGTGCGCACTGTAACAAATTCATCGAAGCTCTTATGTCTCCATTAGTTAAGGTAACAATTAATTTTAATTTATCTGAGTCGACATTTACGCCTTCAGCAGCGCAAATGCTGTTTAAGTGCGAAATATGATCAGTTAGCGATATTGGGTTAAACTTACATACAACACATCTCGAAATAATAGGTTCGATTATTTTATTTAAGTAGTTACAAATTATTATGAAACTGCTTTTGCCATTGTAATCTTCAATCACTCTGCGCAACGCAGCTTGAGCGTCGAATGTCATCATATCCGCTTCATCTAGTATGATCAGTTTAGACATTCGCTGAGTTTCGTCAGAATTCTCATCTTGTTTGGAGACGTACTGGCTCCAAGGCTTTATTCTTGTACGTACAGCAGAAATTCCACGATCATCTGACGCATTCAACTCTAAAGTGTTTTTTTTCCAATCATTTCCAAACATGGATTTTGCTAGAGCTAAGGCGGCTGAAGTTTTTCCAGACCCCGGGGGACCGAAAAATAAAAAATTCACACAACTATTGTTTGCAAGCGTTGACATTAGTATCCTTTTTGCATTTTTTTGACCTCGTAAATTTTCGATACTCGAAGGTCTACTATTACAACTGTAACGGTAACTAACTTACTATCGCTCAGTCCAAATTTCTGTCATTGCGCTGAAAGAAATTTCTCATTATTATAATACTAATTTCTCGCTATAAAAGCTAATAAGCCAAGAAGAAATTAAAAATTTTAAAAATCTAGAAAATTTTTAAACTCTTGTTCTAAATCGATGTGATTGTGTGTTACGGTGCTACATTTATTTTTATTGTCGACGGAGTTGTCATTTTCAGTTAATATTTCTTCTATATATTTATTTACTACTAGATTGTCTGTATGATCTATTCTAAATAACATATTGGTTTTATTTATTTCATGATTTAGCAAAAAAAGCGCATCTAAATCAGCGTTGAAATTTTTGTCTGACTTAACCAAATTTGTGTATTCGTATTTAAAGTAATGTATAAAATTAGAACAAGCGTCCACCTGTTCTAATTTGTTAATAAAATCTAAAAAAGCCTCTTCTTTATGTCGCTCATGCAGTAAGTTGAACAAGACCGTTTGTTCAAATAATTCTTCACAGCTCATTTTATTTTCAATGTATCTCTTGACCATTGAGCTATTTTGATTTTTAACGAGCAAAGCTGTTGCTAATACTAAACATTGAAATTTTTCTGAGTCCGGTTCTTCGTTAGCTAAATCAACGAGCAAGGAATGAATATCTTCATTGCTCAGTTTAACTGTGGTTAATTGTAAAAATTTTGTTATGAATGTTTTATCCCATTCTTTTCTGCAAACAAAAAAACTGTGAATTATGTTTTTAGCTTTACTGGGCTCTACAATATCAAGTAAAACTAGAAATGCGACTTTCTTGAGTTCTTCATGCTTTGAAATGTGTACAAAATCTTCAAGTGCTGAAACGAGCAAGACGATTAGTTCGTTATTCTGTGTAATGTAAAAAGATTTGATAAGGTAATTCAACGCTAGTAATGTTAATTCATAATTGTCGTCAATAGCTAGCCTGTAACATTCTAAAAACATCGGAAGATCAAAAAGTCGGCAGTTCTCCAAAACGTGAGTAAAAATAGAAATAGTATAACAATAATCAAACTGCCGTAAGTGAAATAGACGCTTTAAAAGAATTTGAATGCTCGCTATTTTATTTTGGGGATTTCGCAAAAAAAAATTAAGCAGCAATTGAATCGAATTTAATGCGATTTGATTATTGCTTTGAATGACTAGTGCCATCAATTGATCTTTAAACAAATCAGTCAAACAACTAGAATTCAGCTTTTGTAACGCGCTTATTAGAAACAATTGAGTGATCTGCGGCAGTTTTTTCACCACTTCGAAATTTGATAAATAATAAACGGCTTTTTGCGAAAATTTATCTTCATCACAGTAAGATTTAGACAAAATATAAGAAAGCACTGCAGTGGAACTAACAATATAATTATTATCATCCATCAGTTTATGAGTTTCGATATCCATTAAAGCTAATAAATAACGAAACATTATAACGTTACCACAATAGAAGTTTGACAAAACTAAATTAGAATTAAGCAATGCTAGATATTTACTTGGGTGATGTGTAGAAGATAATTCCTTATCAATTGTGTTTTGCGATAGAATGGTTAATTCTTCAATTTTATCATTAAATTCTGAACGAAAGCTGACATTACACAAAGTTCGATAAGCGTAAGCTTTTACGCGCAAGTCATCAGTTGTGGCCAACTGAGATAAAATATTGAACTTTTGATCAAGTGGGCTTTCTCCGTTTAATTCTTGTTCAACTAGTTCATCGACTTCGAGACGACTTCTAGGTTTAATATTTGAAATAAAGTTCACGACTGACTGCATGAATGCTGCATTCTCTTATTTAGCCTTAACACAATAATTTAATAAAATATTTATTATTAACTAATAAGTGAAAAATCAGTATTTTGCAGCTGTTGAATGCGCCTATCTAACTTTTGTATAAAGTCCTTCGAATGTGATAAGCACGAAACTGCCGACTCGTTAGTGTCTAATGGTTGTATAAGCTCGTATTGTTTTTTGTAATTAGAAATATTATCGAAAAATAGTTTCCAATGTTCGTATTGGTTTAACTGATCATAAGTAACCTCTGAGCCTTCTAAATATATAAGTACCTTGTCAAACAAAAGTAAAAATTCTTGATAAGTAATATGTTTGTTGGTCAAAGGGTTAATGCATAAATGATGCAAAAAATTGACTTGTATTCCAATTATATTGATCAAACTGCAGAAAGAAACGATTTTTGCGGCTGAAGTTAAATCTTTCATCAATGTACAATTGTTGTTATCAAAATTCATTTCATTAGAATTGCTAAGTACACAACAAGTAGCTACTACATTCGTCTTGCATATTAACATAAATTTACCGTAGGTGTGGGAGTTTCCAATTAAAGTTTTCAGAAAAGCATCTTTTTCGAACAGTTTGATAACAAGTTTAAACGTTTCTATCAGCACTAAATTTGAAAAAAGTATTTTTTGTTCATTTATTTTAGAATCATATTCTTGATCAATATTCTGCAATAAATTAGCTTCACAAAAATTGAGAACGTGCTTCGTATCTTTGAAAAATTCTAGAAGAGCAAAACCTAATAGTGAAGTGGACATAGAAGTTGCTGTTGTTTGAACTGTCAGAGCTGGAGTGTTTTGAAACTCAAGCAACATGTACTTGTAAATCGAAGATTGGTTACTCATTAGTTCATTTATCAGACCAAGAAATCGTTGTTTTTGCTCGAACAAAAATATGTTTTTCGATTTTTGCTTCATACCTGACTGCCTGATTTGTTCTACAATACTCAGAAGCTCATTCATAATAAATTCCACTCTTTTAGGAAAATAACGAAACAAATTGTTAAAGCTTACATATTTTTTTTCTTCGTTTGAAAGTTCCAAAATAGCTCCTGGCTCGCTGGCCGACCGTTCAAGAGCTAAATGCGCATTTATCGATACATCCCCTGGAATTAATGTCCCATCTAGTTTTCTTATTATGTCAAATATGCTATGGCTTACAGTAAGTATTTGCGTTTGATCTTCCAATATCTTCGTCGCAACTTCTGAGCAATTTATGTGCACGATAATGCTTACAGTGTCTTGAAGTTTAGCAACTATATAGTTGTCGCTTTTATTATGTATTAACGAATCTGTTGTACTTGAAGTATCTTGAGAATGTTTATTCACAGAAATATAGTTCGAATAATATGTTCTTATGTATAAAATAGACGAAAAAAACATAAAGGGATATAAGTCAAACTTTGTGTAAGTTTGACGTGCGTTTTGTAAGCTAAACAAACTGTTTAAAACTGAAGTGATCAGATTCCTGCTTAGTTTGTCATTTTCTTTAAACAAATTAGCTAGTTTTAACGAGTAGGCAGAAAAACAAAGAGAAACGCAAAATTGTAGTACCTCGTGATTACAATTGCAGAACGCTGTCGGAAGTAATTCTATACTTGACTGTAGCTCAATTTTGTTAACCGTTAATATTAGTATTGTTGCTACAATTAGTTTTTTTGTTATAGATGTATATGTAAGCTTTATTAATTTGTCTAGTTCAAGAAGCGATTTGACTGTGTTGTTTAGAAAATTTTCATCTAAGTTTGCGTTGAAGCTGCTTTCATAATTCTTGTAAAGAAGATAAATGATGAAGAAAACAAAAATCTCATCCACTGTGTAATAATCATGATAATTTATCAAATCTAATAGAAATGACCTGTTATCAAATAAAAAAGAACCGAAAACATTTGAAATATGCTGCACTACATTTTCCAAATAATATTCTGTAACTGAGACCGTGTTGACACAATCAATTTCTGTTCCTTGTTTGTCGTGACTACAATATAATATAATTCTTGTATTTAGTGATTTAAAAATAATTACCTTTAACACAGCTAAAAGTACTTCATTAGTGTGTAAATGTGTCGAAAATCTCATAAGGTTGACTAGTTTAGTATAAGTAGGTACAAGGTTTTCAGAAAAAAAATAGATCTGCAACACCCGGCTGGCTAGTTGAATCACCTGAACATTGTTAAAAAGATGTATATTTAAACTTAAAAAATCCGTTGTTAAACCATGATATAACAAATGTAGTAAAAGCAAAGCAGAAAATATAAGGTGAGAGCTAGTTAAAGCTTGAATTGTGTCTATAGAGTCAATATCTTTTACATTAGAATGAAAGTCTCTGTTTGTGTGAACACAATCTGCTATTAAATAAGTAAGTAAAGCCTCGTCATGATCGCCAAAGTTTATAAACTGTTCGACTATTAGAACATCTAATGATTTTAAAAAGATCAAATTCAAGTTCGATGACGTTGCAATTAAAGCATTCACTTGTGAAACGAAAACTTTGTTCGAAAACTTTTCATGTTCCATAGTTCTGTCATTTAAACCTTTAGCAAGGTAATTTTGTTTTAATGGAAACATTTAAAGTTTTTGTACATCGAAGTCAACTATTTGTATCCACACAGTAAGAGTAATAATTAGTTTTCGGATAAAAATATGGTTGTTTTATTTTGAAAGACGAAAATATACTAAAAATTAAATTTTGTAAGTTTTTATTAATAAGCCAATATGATCACTGAGAAAAACGTTGTTATTTGGTATTTTTTGCGTGCCTACCATTTCCAAATGATGTGAAACTGAAAACTGTTGTGAATTTTGTAAAAATTTGCTTTGCCAAAAAAAAATTCTGTCAAATCTAAATTTCTTTTTTTTACTTTGTTTGGTCCGGAATTGGTTGCCGTTAAACCAGGTTTGATATGAACAATTTATCTTAGAATTAGGAAGAAGATAAATATCTTTTGTTTCTATATTATAGTTTTTTTTTATGTGGTTTACTTCATTTTCTCGAAGATTTGTGTCTCCTCCAAAATATGCAGTGTCAACTTTATGTTTTTTCGCCAATTCAATCATAAAGTTGTACAGTTCTACAAACTGATCAATACGTTTTTGAGAATTTTGATTTAAACTCTCTAAGTGCGTGCTACACACTAAAAGCGGAATATTTTTCTGATCAATTAATTCTAAGTAACAACAAATAAAATGTCTGCCCATACTACTGTTAGGGAAAGAGTAGTGCATGCTTTTGACGTTCGTAAAAGCGTACGTACTGACTCCAATAACGTTGTAATAGCTTTTATTTCTGTAAGAATCAAGTTGTTTCGCGTTTAGTGGCTCTGAATTGGCATGTAAGAAAAAAGAGTAAGCTTTGCCAAGCTTTTTTTTCAAAAACATATAGGACTTAGAAACAACTTCTTGTAGCAACAAAACATCGGGTTTTTTTTGACAAATTTCGTAGTAAATACCCTCAATACGAGATTGAAAATTTGTTTCGTTCAAACCTTGGATGTTCCATGAAAGAACAGACATTACCAGATTTTCATCTTTGAAGTCAAACTTCATTAAATTATAAAAAGCTAAGTTTTAGCTAACAAATATGAGAATAAGCATTGGCCTGCTTGCGGACTCGAACTGAGACGTTTTAAAATTTTATGTTCTTTAATTATTTTATTTTACGTTATTTTATAGATTAGAGTGCTCTGTCTTTTAATCTTTCGATACGCTGTTTTTGAGAAAGTTTATAAATTCAGACAAATTTGGGATCTGAAAAGACCAATCTGGCTGGTTTTCAATGTATTTGGGGGCGTTATCTATTGAAAGAAGACTTTTTGAATACAACTGACAATATCCCTGGTACGTCTATAAAAAAGTTGCGCGTTGAAAAAACTTACTAATTTTGTCAAATCGATGGGAAACAAAGCCAACGCCGGATTAACGACGTAAATGTCATCTACCCAGTTTAGTTTGGCTTTTTTTGAGTTGTGAAATGCGAGTTTCGTCAATATTGTTATTGCTACAGAGTGGTAAATAATATGGCTGCTTTCATTAGCGTGTTTTAAAGAGTCTCGACATGTCTTGGGGAAATCGTTCATATTTGTGGTTTTGTATAAAATCCATTTAAAAAAAACCGCGATCAAATTGCCATCAGTCTCTTCGTGTTTACTGCTCGATTTTTGCAAAAAAACATCGTCGACACTGCCAACTCCTAAAATCGAATTCATGTCTTCAGAGCCAATGACAATAATTATTTGTGAGAAAGTCGACAAAGATTGAATTAATTTTCTTTTCAACCCACGTGTAACAAGCAACGAATTATTTCTGCCAAACTCGTCTTGAGTACTACCTAGTTTAGTTAAAAAATAGTAAGAAATTTGCTTATTCTGTTCGTATCGTTCAATAATGTCATTAACTGAAGTTATCATATTTTCCCATATTTTTTCTCGCAGATAATTGCTTTTCATCGGCGATTATTATTATAATTTCTAATTTCCTTGCGCCATTAATAATTATTTCATAGCTACTATGATGCAAGACAGAATTAGTAAACAAGAAAATATGTGCGAAAAAAATTTAGAAGCACAAAAAAAGATTGCGTAAGTCCTTGAATTAGCATTACTCATCCGGTACTTGTGATGAAAAAAGCTGCAAGTGAAACTCTGCTGTAGTGAGGAGAAAAACAAACGATTTGAAGTATTATGTTCAATGCTTGACCATAAAGCAGTGGAACGAAGTAAGTTTTAAGTTTTTTAATTATTTTAGTTTCCTTAATTAAATTGACTAAGCCCAGTTTCTACGAAAAAATCGAAGCGTTTATTTTGAGTAACTCTCAGATAATAAGTACTGGTCAACTGATCGATGAAACTATGATGAAAAACATTCTGTTAAAATTTTCAGAGGCTGAAAAGCCCACTAGAGTTGAGATAAAACACAAAAACTATATTAACGAAGAGAGTGACTGGGAAGACGAATGGGAGGTATAAAACAATCTGACTTTTTATTGTAAAACGTGTTTATATTAAGAAACTTATATAAAAATCTGTTAGTAGTGAAACCTGTTTTTGCTCAGCACAATTATAGTTTAATTTGTAGTATTTTTTTGCTTTTAACTATTTTATTGAAAAACAAAAAAATTGATTTTTTAGTTTTGCTGAACTGGAATGTAAATTACATTTTTAAGGAGCAAAATTTTCTTTCTTTGAAAAAAATGTGATAGTAATACGACTATGTCGAGCATATTCAGTCTGCAAGACGAATGCTATGAAATAGTTCCAATTATCAATTCATTTTTTACGTGTCTAAGGTCATTTTCCTCGGTAATTTATTTAGACAACAGTAAATTAAACTGTGAAGGACCGTTATCTTTATACTGCTTGCAGGTCTCCATAGCAACTGCCATCAATGTTAATGTAAATGGAGAAAATTCAAGTTTTAGTTTATATCCCAAAACTAGGAAGTTTCAATACGATTCAGAAGTTTTATCTCCATCGCAGCTTAACTTAGCAAATCATTCTGGTGAGTTTCAAGATACGACAACTAAATTTTCTACCGTCTGTTTGACCGGTTTGGAACTTTGTTTAAATTACATATATTTTGCTATAAAAATAATTTTAACTGATAGTACGGACGTAGCTGAAGCGCTAAATAATGTAATCAAATATTTTGCAATGGATTTTAAATATTTAGATGATAAACAATATGTTTCAATTGCTAGAATTGCCGTTATACCGTTTTGCTCGCTTTATGCCATGTGTCTTCTTTCTAGCTATTTGGTGACGAACCCGTTTATAGAATTTTATGCAAACTCTTTTTGGAAATCTTTACTTAGTCTATTACAAAATTATCTTTTAACTGTTAAAAGCAGCTCAAATTTAACGGCTCTTGAGCATGTGTTTTTGGAAACCCGATGTGTGAACTTTTGTCTTGCAGTAGTTAGCGACGTGATCAAAAAATGTAATACGACTAGTTTCGATGCCAAAATTTGTTTTCTTAATCTTGTGAACTTGAGCATTTCTAATATACTTAATTGTTGTAATCCATCAAAACTTCGAAACATCGATTGTGTTCATTCTACTTTATGTTCTCAGGAACCCGAATATCTAGCTTTTCAAGAGGGTACTCCAAAACTCAAACGATTGACGCCTGAAACTGACGAAACCAAATTTAAAAATATCTTATTAAGCTATCTTCCTGTAATATTATTTAGTAAAAACCAAGTCTGTAGTTGTTCAATTGAATTTACTTGTTCTAAGACGACGAAAAAAAAAAAGTCGCTTGGCCTCGACTGTAGAAAGATTTCTTTTTGTAAACTTTTTTCTTCTTGTTCGACATATTCAGGTAACACCACTTGTTTTGGATCGATAGTAGTTGACGTTTGCCAGATTATGGAAGCTAACTATCATTTATACCTACTGAATATTTTTCAAACCCTTCTAGACATATGTTACGAAGACATTGAAAGCTGTGCAGTTCTATCTCACTTCGTGACTACTTTGAAAATATATGTTAGTACCTTTTGCAAAAAGTTGAAATCTACGTTTGTTAAAACTCCAATGCCACCTCTTCATACTTTATTATTAAACATGATTCCTCATTATAACATATTTCAGTACCATGTGTTATTTTGGATTTTATTTGTTGGATATAAATGCGTTGACTTTAATTGGTTTGACGAATCAAGTCAGGCGAGGATTTTTTCGTCAATGGATCAACAAAAAACCGACTCGATTCAGTTGACAAATGCCAGCTTGAACAACATCGTTTTTCAACTGCTTATTTTTTGTTCGTCTTTTATGAATATCGGCTCTCTCGAAAGAAGTAGAGATTACGTAGAATTTGTCAATTTTCCAAAACTTGATTTTAATGAGTTGTTGGTCACTATTCTAAACAATGTAAATTTGGAATCTATACATTTGTTATCACTACATCAATTGGTTGAAATGTGCATTAGTGATATTTGCAAACGCGAAGCTACCATGATTAATGCTAATTTTAAATTCACAGATAATTCTTTGTTTACTGAGACTATGCCTTTTTCGCAAACTCACAACCACGATCGCGATAACATCTGTGAGTCTAACGTCAAAATACCTGAAAATCAAATTCCAGAAAAACTCAATTTTTTAGCTTCTTGTGACATCATGGGCCGATACAACTCGTTTATTTCTGAAGATGAAGTACATTATTTTGTGTTTAGTTTTTATTTAGTCTTGTTGTTATTTTCCAAACAGAACAAACTTTTCGTTAGTATTACAATGTTGGAGTTTTTAAGTTCGGTGGACTACATATCAAAATTCGTTAAGTTAAACTACAAGGATGATGATATTATTGAAATCATGGGAAATCGTCATTTCACTCCAATTTTTATCAACTTACTTTTTTTAAATGATAATTACACGCTGTTGAATTGGGCTAGGTTAACTTACAATAATGTACCAAGTAAGTTGCAGTGTGCTTCAAACTCGAGATATTGCTTTTTGCTAAGGTGTGTTATCAATATTTTATTTGAACGTTTTTCTCTTTCGATCTTTGAATGCGTAATAAAGGTTTTCTTTCGTTACGAAATAAATGACGAATACGTCATTAAAAGTTTTTTGAGTATTTCTGTATGGTATAAATACAATTTATTTTACAATTTAGACGGTTTGTTCAACAAAGAAAATGCTCGATTAACCTTGTACAATCTTGACCTGCATAGAAAAAAGATGAAATATCAAGGTAAAAATAAACAAGCTTTTGAAGAATTGTTGGAAAACATATTAAAACCAAAATATGACTGCAACTTCTTTTTCATTTACAGTATAAACTACTTAGGCGAAGAAGACAAATTGAACTATCTAGAGTGGGCACAAAACAAATATAACCACATCGCTCAGTTTTATGATAAAGTAATATCAAACGATCAGTTCGTCTTAAAACCTTACATTTCCGAGTTGTTGATTTTGATTTCTTCGTTTGAAGACTATCAAGTAAACGTATTGGATGTCAATCCGAAATCCTACTTCGCTATTCTGCACTATTTTGGCTTGGACATTGAAGGATATCGCGGTTTGTTCGTGTTGCTCAAATATTTTGAGATTAAAAATATCAAAGATAACTATTTTGACTTTAAATTTCTTTTTCACAATACTTTACAAACATTAAGAATCGAATCTTCGTTTGGATCTCGAAGAATAGAAAATAAAAATCACTATTCGATTCTCAGTACAATTTGTGCTGCCGAATGCTTGTCTAAGCTTGGAAAAATGCCAAAAGAATGTTTGCCCTTGGAGTTAAAATACTATGTCAAAAATTCTATTTTGTCAAAACCGGATTCAAAAGTGCCTAATTTACTTAGTAATTTGTATCAAAACATAAGGCTGGACTGTTATTGCCACATCAAAAGCCAATTGACAGATAGGTTGTTTCATATTATTGGCTCTATTCTGAGGAGAAATGACTCAGTTTCAGGGGCTGTGGTCTATAGTATTGCGAAGAACTTGATAAGTTCTCATTTCGATAAAAAATCTGAATTTTTGTCTTTGTTATCATCGTGCCTGGAAAGCGACGTAGAGTTTAAAAATTATATTTCATTTAAAGGCTGTTTATTGCCTGATAACAGAATAAGTAATTATTACAAGGAGTTGATCAAGTTATACTTAGAATATCGAGACAATATAAATATTTTTGCTGAGTTTGATGAACTCATTATCAGTAGTATGCTTTTGTACCCAGTAATTTTGCTGCTTGTTTTAGCCTCTTTGTTAATTTCTATCTCTGAGCACGAAGTTTTACTACAAAAAGTTGCGCAACTCTTTACAAATATTATAAAAGACGTAGGCCAACATATTGATTCGAGTTCTTCATTAGACTGCTCCGAATATGAAATGCTCATTAATATAATAGTTGAAGGAATTTTGTCTTTTGCTTACTATCATTCAACGAAAAATAACGATAAGTGCAGAGTTTTTTTTGACGAGTTGGACTTGTTTTCAATACTCAAGTATTTTTCAAAAAATCAATATACGTTGTTTATTGATTTTCTCATTACGTTTGGGTTTGACTTCCATGCGTATTTTATCAAAAACGAAAAAATAAATAGCGATTTAGACATCATAGATACTAAAGAATTTGATGTGATCGTCGAAAAAGAAATTCTAAGTTTTCTGCAGGAGGATGACGAAATAAAGCAGAAAAAAATTGAAAACTACTTGATCTTAAATATTAACAATAAATTCAACAACATAACTACTTGCAACGCATACGATTATATCGAACAAATTAGCAATCTTCCGTATATTAAGAGCCATATTCTAGAATCATACAAAGGGAAGCATAAAATCATTGATGCGTGGGTTGATATCTACTTGAAAAAAGAACGTTTTGAAAACCTTTTATACATTGTCGCTTCAAAAAATGAGTTTGAAAAGTTTGTAAATGACGTAGATAAAACATTTAATTACGGTTTTATTGATTTCAGTCACGTGGACGAGACTGTTGAACCTGTACTTAGTCGTTACGACAGTCTGGAAGCGCTCGAAACTAAGTGTACCGACTACAATATTTATTCAGAACTTCTTTCTAGTATAAAATATTTAGACGCACGGCCTATTCTGTTAGACAATCACCTCAACAGTACTTATTTTAGCTATCGACGAATTATTCTAAACACGCCCAACAATTATTCTATTCAACATGATTTTCTGTGTTATACTTATGATACATTACTCAATTATCTGTATTCGTCAGAAACCAATTTAATAAACAACCTAAAACATTATATCAAGACGCAGTCAATTTCAAAAGTCGTAAATTCAATTTTCGATCACCAAATTCCTACTACAGGCATTTCTTTCAACAATTTATTACATCATTTTTTAACAACAGGCTTTAGCATTTTGCTAGGGTGTAATTATTACGACGAGGATTGCATCCTTAAAGTAGTGTCTTTGTTAACCCTGCTTGAAACTCCAATTACTTCTGATTCCAATGCACGAAAAACCCAGAGTTCTGACACTAGTAATTTTAACAACACTATCTACAACGTTATGCAAAAACATATTGACACAAAAGCTTTTGTTGAAAATATATTAGCTACTTATAGCTCACTGATTATTAGTGTGCCAATCTATAAATGGTATAAAATCGTATATCTACTCATGTCACACTGCAATAATTCGAATCCTTCGATAATTTTATACGGCCCCCTTATGGGTAATATATTAATTACGTACCCAAAGTATATTGTTTGGCGTTTGACATCTTTAAAATTCATGAAAAATTCTATGTACGTTGACACTTACAATTGTATTATCAAACTCGTAATCAATATAATAACTACTTTCTTGAGCTTTTCTTCTTCAACACCGTTCACCAAAAAGCTGAACATTTGTTTAGCTTCCCTACGAAACGATGTTAATGATTTCGCATATCGTTTTTTTAAGTCTACTTTAACAGAGCTCTATAACCATTATTTTCAAGAAGATTCGACAAAGTTATTGAATCAAAAATTATCCGAAGTTCTTCTCGCTATAAAAAAAAGCTCTGATCTGTTTAAAATTTTGATTGAAACAGCCAACAATACAAATATTCAAATTAAAAAACAGTATATAGCAGTAAAAGAATGTCCTAATCTATATTATTTTGACTATAAAAAATCATCGTTGATAGTCCCCGATACAACTAACTTGAAATTAGACCTTGATGAACCCATGATTGATTTTATCTCTGTCGGGCTCAAACGAAATATGAAGTATTTGTCGATTTTAAGACTCTGGGCGCGTTACAATCCAGGATTCGTTCCTGCTGTGAAAATATATCGAAAACCAGAATTGTACAAACAAAGCTCCGAACAATTGATATACATAACGCGGCTACAAGATGAAATGACAATTTACACTTCCAAACAAAAACCAAAAGTGATTAGTTTCTTATGCTCGGACGGTTACGCTAGAAATTTTTTGTTAAAATGCGAGAACAAAGGTGATATTCGAAAAGATGTTTTCGCAATGGAGTTTGGAAATTTGTCCAATAAATATTATGAATTAGCTTTTTCTTTCTCAGAAGCGTCTAGAACTAGCGGAATAAACAGTGATACAGTTTCAGTTATTGACTCGACTTTGGTTAAATATGCGAAGAAAAATACAAACAAGGATAAACTGCAGCAGTACATAGATTTTGAGTTCAAAAACAACTTGAGTAATTTGGCTTTGAGAAACCAAAAATTGCTGGACACAGGTGAATCGACAATCAAGCCTTACGCTGTCATAGCACTACAGGAAGTTTGCGGGCTGATAGAGTGGATCCCAATGACTTTGACTTTGAGAAAAATAATTTCAGCGGATTTAGCTCAAAATGACACTAAATTACCGAGGAAACCTATTCAACGTGGGCAACAAGAATTATACCTGAAAGAATATTACATTGCTAGAAATGCTACTAAACCAACATTACATAGTAAGTATTATCAATTGTTTGGTTTAAGTAGTTCGACTTGGATTCAGGCTAAAAATAATTTTATTTCTTCAACTGCTCATTGGAATATTTTTGGTTTTATGATTGGACTGGGAGACCGTCACCTCGATAATATTTTGGTAGATTTACGGGACGGGGCTATAATTCACGTTGACTTTGATTGCATTTTAGATAAAGGTTTCAGTTTGGTCATTCCGGAGTTAGTTCCGTTCCGTTACACACAAAACATACAGGCAATGGTTTCTTACCATACGCCTATACTATTTAATAAGATGATAAAACTTTGCAAGTATGTTTTTAGAGATAATACTAGTGAATTTATTACGTTATGTTTTTCATTTATTAACAATCCTTTAATTTATTGGAAAAGCGAAACTGTTTATACAACCGTTATTAATTCTATTAAGAAAAAGTTTTCTGGCAGAGTGAACTATTCGGCAGTCTTTACGGATCTGTCTGATAAAATGAATCCTTATAAGTTAGCAAATAGCATCAACATTGTTTATAAAAATGTACCTTGGAATTATCAAGATTTGAGTCCTAAAGCGCAGGTCGAATTGCTCTTGAAGGCTGCGTCTGATGATTTGAATTTAGCATTGATGTATGCTGGGTGGACCAGCTACGTGTAAAATGTGAAATACTAATTATTTTTCCGAAACTGATTTATAAATAATAGGACTGTGTTCTGATGGCAATGGTTGTTGAGTAAACCAGGGGTGTTGCATAGTTTCTTTAGCTGAAGGTCGTTTTAGTGGGTTAGTTTTTAGAAGACCTTCGAGGAGATCAATTGCAAGTGGGTTGACATTTTGAATAATGGTGTTTAGTGGGATCTTTTTTCGATATTCAAAAAAAATAAAATCTGGCAAGGAAGTCACATAAGGCCAGTCGCTTTCAGAACCATCAGACACACTAGGGGTTCCTAAAATGGAAAATATTTTTGCGAGTTGATCCTCTCTATTATCTCCTTTAAATAAGACATTGCCCTTTGAAAGTAGTTCTGCCAGAATGCAACCAGCAGACCAGATATCAATTTTGTTTTGGTAAAAATCCGTGTGAAACAAAAGTTCAGGCGCTCTATACCATAAAGACACCACTTCTTCTTTGGGATTAAAACAGTGTTGAGAAGCATAAATAGAAGCTAAACCGAAGTCGGCCAATACAGCTCGACCCTGGTCGTTTATAAAAATGTTACCCGGGGTCAAATCTCTGTGTAAAATCCAATTACTGTGAAGGTGGTCTAGTCCTTCAAGTATGTCTAAAAAAATTCGTTTAACCTGAGACTCATCCAACAACATATTAGTTTTGAACAGAGCTCGCAAGTCGCATTTTATCAAAGGCATAACGATGTTGACAACGTTGTTTTCCACAAAAATATCGAAAATCGGCATCAAACTGGGGTGGTTAAACTCTTTTACCACCAAAAGTTCTTGGTAAAGAGATCGGGGCAATCCATACATCCAAAATATGTTAGAAAACTGATTTTTTTGGGTTTTTTCGTTGTTTTGTTGAGATTGAGTTGATGAAAGCATGGGGTAAAATTCTTTTATTGCATAATTGTGGTTATTATCAGGCCCTACAGCCTGGTAAACTTTACCGTAAGAACCCTGTCCTAATAAAGCATTATGCAATTTCGTATATTTTAAAGAGTCAGTTTCTACTACATCATTAAGGTTCATAACAGAATTTATCGATAAACATATTTTCAATAGCTAATTTATTTTTTAATAAGAATATACAAATAAGAATGGCAACAACAAAAATGTAGCGAAGAAAAACGGCAATTTTAAGCTGGTTCAGAGGATTCAATAACCTGTTTAAGTTGTTTGTGAAACGAATCAATAATTTTTTTAATTTCTGATGTTGAAAAAAAATTAAGGTTAAGGTCACAATACAAAGTTGCTGGAACTTTTATCAGGGCACCTATGGATTAAAGTTTGTCGTGAAACTTACAACAAATTTTAGCAAAAAGCTCAGTAGCTTCGTATGAGCTGTTAGCTTGGGTAACGACGCAATACAGAGTTTTGCTGCATTCAGATGGGTAAAGTTCGAACGCAGTAGTTTCTCTTGAAGTTGAATTACTGGTTACTTTAATAATAGCGTGCTTGTTTGCTTGTTCCTCGTATGAAAAAACAGGTATGACGTTTGCCGCCGTGGAAGTGATTATTTGACTAGTTGCAGCTAGACTGGAGTTCATATACGATTTAGCTGTCAAATAATATTTAAAAAAAGAAAAGTTTATTTTTTTATCCTTGTTAAAAAGGATAGAACATCTGTCTGGTTTTTATTTGCCTTGAAGCGTATGCCGAGTTATGCTGTTTTTTCGCACATTACTTTTTCTTTGAACTACATATATGAGTTTTATAACCGAATTAAACGAGGTATTTTTCCACGGAAACTAGTTAGATACTCCAACAAAGAACTAATTTTGGTTGAGAAATTGGTTGAAATTTATCGATTTCAAACTTCGTTACTGCGTATTCAAAAAGATTGTCGGCTGGCGTTGCACGAACTGTCAAACAACTTAATCAACTGCGTTGTTTGGTCACAGATAAACGAAAAAAAGTCAGAATGCAGCGAACTTAAAACTATTAAAGATGAAATAAACAAAAAAATAAAGAATCATATTGTTAACAAAGCTACTCCAGAAATTCGCATTCTTCGAACTACTAACAAAATTAAATCGCTTTTTACCAAATCCATGTCTGAGCAAATTAAGAACAAGTTTTTTGTTCAGCTTTGTGAGCACTACTATTTAATCTTGCTGCAGGACAGTTCAATGACAACTGTTCTTGGTGAACGAAGCTCTTTGTCTAATTCAGATTTTACCACTAACAAAGAGTTGTTAAAACAAATCATAACAGAGAACTATTCAAACGAAAACCTTAAGCTTTTGTTAAGTTTAGTTAACAAGGAGCTAAGTAATTACAGGTTCCCAAACCGTTTTTGGAAAAATTTTTGGTCTGAGCTGGCTAGCTCAATCGATTCAAGCGAGCACTCTAGAAACTTTCAAATTCACTGGCTCAACAACTACCACCCAAACGCGTTTAATGAGATAAAATTGGCAAAAAATGAATTTTTTCACTACTTAAACAGTGTGAATAACAATTGGAAACTGCTAGCAAAAAAACTTGATGTTCTTCCTTATAAATGTTACGAGAAATATCTGTTTTTTCAATCTCTCGACTTGTCAGATTTTTCCGAAGCGGAAAATCAAATAATACTTGATAGATTGATTCAAACCGGCGCAAAATTAGACACAGTGATTAGAAAAAACGAAATCTTGAGGTATGAAGTCGAAAATGACTTTATTTTAAAATTACAGGCACTGTTGCCAAACCGTTCGTACTATGCAATCAGTCAGCAAATAAAAAAAATATTGGCTTCTGTTAAGCGGAACAGAAAAAATAAAGGGAGCTGGCCTATTGTTTTTGACTTAAAATTAGCTTTTTTAATAATGTATTTTGGATCTTCGAATTGGCTGAAGATTTCTAACACTAAAATACTAGAGAACAAAACCGAAGGCCAAATAAGAGAAAGATTCGTGCGTAGATTGCAGTGGAATTAACACATAAGAAAATTCTGTTATTATAAGATTAATTTTTGAGTTGTGGCAAATTAATTTCACTGAAATATTAATCTTTTATTTATTAAAATGTACACTTTACCATTAAGGTTGAAATTTTAATGGTAAAAGGATGTTCAACTAATTAAATGAAAACCAGCTTTGAAGTTTACATACTCGGGTCTGGCCCTTCGATGGGCATTCCAAACTTAAGTCACATTCTGAATTTCAAAAAAAAATGGTTAGTTTAGTTTAATATTTATAAATTAGAATAGCATTTGCTTCGACGCATTGGATGATACGAAAACTGAAAAGCTCAATATATGTTTGTTGATTCGTTTCATCGATGGCGAGAACACAATAGATTCCATAATTGATGTGGGAAAAACATTTAGAAATACAATGCTGAAATTAGCTAGAAAACTAAATATCAAACAAGTTAAAAACATTCTTCTGACACACAGCCATATGGATGCCATTGGGGGACTGGATGACATTCGCGATATACAATATTTTAGAGCCAAATCAAAGTCAGACCAAATTATAAAAAGTTACTTTCCCGATTACCGGCCTCGAATTTTTTGCAACGGTGAAACTTATGAAATAATCAAAAAACATTACGATTATATTATAAATGCTAGTGTGAGCACATTTTCCGTTAAAAAAATATCACTTTGTGATTTCAACTTATTTATTAATGGCGACGTGCTAAGCTTAACTAATCCGTTAGAAAATGTCTATTTCAACAGTTTAGACGTTGAATCATGCAAGTTTATTTTGCCTGAAACAGATTTAGAAATACAAACACTTCCGGTCTGGCACGGCGCGAATTTTGTCTGCATAGGATATAGTATTTTTGACGGAAAGCGGCGTGTAGTAATTATTACAGATGTTTCTCAATTTGTACAAAGCACGATTGATATAATTGATGCTTTTGGCCCGTTCGATACGTTTTTGATCGACGGTTGCGGCTGGGAAAGACATTTGTACTCGCACATTTGTCTGTTCGAAGCGCTGTTCGCGGTTTATCGGTGGACCCCCAAGTCAACTTATATTTTGGGTTCTGGCTGCATGACGATCACAAAATTCGTCTCTTCCGGCCAGTTAGTCGAATTTGTCAAGCAAATAGACGAATACTGTGCAAACCCAAACGCAGATTTGAATTTTAAGAAAAATTTGGAATATTTAGAACAGAGTTTTGTCAATTCCATGATTAACAATACGCCACCTCACAGACAAATTAACCGAATTGAATTAATCACACTTGGAACAGACGGTTTGAAAATCTGACACGCCTTCGAATTTCAATTATTAGTGTTGTTTGCGTCATCAGCGGCGAAAAGATCTTTGATATCGTCCAATTCCAGTGGAGGCTCATCTAGCCTGTCTGAAGTGTACTTCGGTTTGTTTGTGATTTGACCGTCTATTTCTTTTAGTAATTGCATTTTACGAATCGTACTTGGTTCAAATAAAGTATTGTCCATAGCTTTTGCGCCGTACAATTCCGCTGAAAACCTTCGTGGAACGTAGTTCTTTTGGAATTCAGTAGTGGTGACATTGCTTCGGCGATACAATTCGTTTTCTTTCGTGTGAACGTTAACTTTTAGTGGTGTTAAATCTCTTGGCTTGAAGCCTGGTAAGATTTCTTTCTGTTTTTCCAGGAGCTGCTGATACTCTCGACTGACCATAGCACATGCATTTCTAATAGTTTCCTGCTTATCCGGTGATGCAGTCCACCAACCTAGGTCGTCATTTTCATCGTCGGACATTTCTTGGTAAGTAGTAGTGATAGTTTGATACGGAGTAGACTGCACCGCTTGTCTGAGCTGTTTGATTCGATTTCTAGCTTGTGAAGCAAACGGATCTATTAACTCCATAACACTTGTGTTTGGAGGTTCAAGCACATTAGGCAAGTACACTACTTTACTTAGTTCAGCTTGCTGGGCTGTTGATCCCATATATTTGCCAATGTTGTACCCAACCAAGTTGTTCAGCGTTAGGTTTTCAATTATTACATTTTCTTTACTAGTTTCTGATACTTTTTTGAATTCTTGAAGTGTTTCTGGATTCGTTGCGTTGTTAAGATAAGCGCGTGCTTCAATCAAGCTGTTCAACATCGACTCTTTAAGTTCTTTGCCTAATATTTGTTCACTCATAAAGGGACACACAATTTCTGCAAACTCAGAAAAAGTTAATTTGTACGGATCTCTAATTCTAAACTTCTTAATTTGATTTTCACTTTCTTTTTGCTTTATACATTTAATTATTTTACCGAGCGTTTTCTCCGATTCGCTGGTCATTTTAATATCTTTAGGCACCCAAATGTTATTGTGGTTATCTGAAAAAAAACTAACAATGCGGCCGCAAATCTGGTACAAAGAGCTTACTGTATTTAGCAAGTTACTCGTCACACTAGTTTTTGTTTCAGTAACGTTATGTTTGCTGGAATCAGTGCTGCTGAATAAGTCAAAAAAATTCCAAAACAATCCAGACTTTTGAAACAAGTCTGTTTGTTTGGCTTGAATATTTTTCAGCGCCTGTTCTTGATGAAAAGTTTGACCTGGAGTTTTTTTTTCTGTCAGACGAGTTTGAAACGAATTTGCGTTGTTATTATCATTGTAAGAAGACATCAGTTTTTTTCCTAAATTCCCTATTAATTGGCATAAACCCTGTATCGATTTGTCTAGTAAATCGTATAGATTTGCAGGAGTATTCGGGTCTTTTATATAGCTATGCTGAATTTTTTCTTTCTTAGAGTAATTTTGGTATAGATCGCGTGTACTGACTTGGTTCTTGTTCAAATCATTTTCCATGTAAAGTGGGTTAAATATCAGTTTGTCGAATATTGAGTTTTCTTTACAAAACGTGTTTCTATAATTGGCATTTTCCGGTTTGAAATCGAAAATGTACCAAGCTAACTTTGATCTTGATATAATTTGTTTAATGTCACTTGTCTTAGCCAGCTGTTCCACATTTCCCGTGGCAGCTAGTTGAAACAAGCTCATTGCTAAAGATAAAGGCTTTTGTAAATCGCTGAACGAGTAGCAGATGTAATTTCCTTCTCCATCTTTGAATTTACAAAACGCTGCGTTGCATTCACAATTGGCAGAAACCTGTTTTTTTGCGTTGAGTAATATTTTGTTGTAAGAATTGTTTGCAACCTTGTTTGATTCATACTTGTGGCAAGTGCACGAGATCTCTGTTATAGGAGAGATTCCGTTTATAATTGACACACAATAGGAGCACAA